GCGCCGGGAATCGAGCCCGCGACCCGGACCGCAACCTGGACGCCTAAGCCAACCGCGCTGCCGACTGAGCTAGGCAGGCTTTGAACACTTTCCGAAAAATAAGGGGCTCAACAACAACAATAGCTAGAATAGCCAAGAAAGTTGGCCACAAACAGGGCTCTGCAGAAAAACAACTTTTCAGGCTCTAAAAAATCGTCTTTTCCACACTGCTCTCATGAAACTCAGAGAAGCTCGGCTTTGCCAAAAAAAAGGCTCCATTTTTTCTTTTTGCGCGCTAACCTCATAAAAATCATACAAGCATGGCTTTGCAAAAAAAAACAACTTTTCAGGCTCTAAAAAATTGTGTGTTTTCACACTGCTCTGATGAAACTCAGAGAAGCTCGGCTTTGCAAAAAAAATCAGGCTCCAAAAAATGTTTTTGCGCACTAACCTCAAAAAAATCATACAAGCATGGCTTTGCAAAAAAACAACTTTTCAGGCTCTAAAAAATTGCTTTTTTCACACTGCTCTGATGAAACTCAGAGAAGCTCGGCTTTGCAAAAACCAATTTTTCAGGCTCTAAAAAATCATTTTTTCGCATGCCTCTTGTCAAATCTGCCAACTGCGCCTTGTTACCTCGTTTAAGCTTGCTCCAACTTGTGCAGATGCATGCAATACATAACTAAGAATGCCCTAAGAATTTGAGGGACCCTCGGCCTGTTGTGGTGTAAATTTGCCTGTATTTAAAAATAAGAATTTCAGGGACCCTGGACCTCAAAATTTCGGGTTCTTAACCAGCGCTCAGGCTGTACTCATTTACTGACGTACAAAATGATGACATGAGTGCCAAACGTCACCTTCACAATCTTGTCGAAGTGGTTCTTCAGCAAGAGCTTCACCGTCACTGCATTGGGTAAGGCTCGGCAGAGCTGCAGGACCTCCCCTGACGATTTGCGATTTGGAGGTTCATCCTGTTGGTTTTAGCATGTTTTAACCAATATCTATGGATTTACATAGATATATGTACAATGAAATCATAGTATCATATGTTTCCCTTTGTTATGAAAAATAAAAAAGAGCTGTCAACTCAATGACTGGGAGACTTATCCCAAGTTATTCATGAAAAATGAGAGGAAACAAGCGTATAAACCACAGACCAAATCAGAAAAAATAATGTCCAAGTGGAACAAGCTACTGAGCACTCTCCCATCTGCTCCGAAGTGTTGCAGGGATTGCTGCAAACTTGCAACAAAGATAGGCGCCTCAGTCTGTTTAGCTGGGAAGACGACACAGGGCTGGCGCATCTTTTTCCCACATCAACTGGAGTAGATTAAATTCCGACCCTTTCGGATGAGTGAAGTTTATCAACTGTATCTGGTTTCTCGCTTTGTTAACAGGACAAAAACGCAAGTCAACTGGGATGCTTGCCCAGATGCAAAGTGAAACATTAGAACCACAAGCCGCCACAAACCAATTCACACCGGAATCCAATGTCACATGGTACCCTATGTTTGGTGTGTGATCCGCCCTTGGCGTTTCTTCAACAAAATATACCGGCCCACGTGCGGGCCAAAACCCACTTCTCCCAGAATTGTTGCTTGTGAAATGGTGAGCTGATACCCAAAAAAACTATGTTTAGAGGCACAAATTACATGCTTTCCTGTAGATTCTGTAGGCCAATTCAACTTCTTCCCAACTCCGCCAGCTCCAGGGTGCCTCAGGGGGTTCTTCGAAATGCTTTCCAATGCCCTGCGAAATCTCCCTTCGCCTTTCAGCAGTGAGATCTTTGGCATCTTCGCCCAAGCATTCACAAAAGCGAGTCCAAATGCTCAGCTTCAACCTGGGGGTTCAGCCACCAGTTGAAAAAGTATTGATCATTAAGTGTGTCATATTATTAATCAATATTAATCATAGTATCATAAATTATACAACAAGATACGATAAGTAGTAAGTAGGCAATTGGGACTATCATCGATTTGAACCATATCTGATATTTGATTCGTTGATATTTGTTGATATCATCGCAGATAGTATGCAAAATAGCAAAAATGAATTCCCCAACCAGCAACAAGGTTGAACTTAAAGTTTGCTCCCCAAACAGTGCACTGCTGAGTTCCGGCCATGCGCCGGGCCATTCCACTTTGGCCACGTTGACGATGACATCGGCCAACTTGCCGCGAACAAAGACGGGAGCTGAGGACCAATCTTTTTGCATGCTTTGGAGCAACCAAGTTTTCCTGGTTGAGGAGCCACACAATGAAAGTCATTTGGCAATCATCCCATTTCTAGGGGGAAACACAAAGATGAATGAAACCACCAACCAGTCTCAGGGCCAGCCATTCCGAAGGAAATTCATGGCGGGCTCTTGGTTGAACCCAGCTAAGCAATAATTTCAAGGCAAAGTGTTGCACAGCTGGCTGCTCAGCAGTGGCGAATCTCATCACATGTTGGAGGGCAGCTGCTGACTCCCGACACAACCTGGAAACCAAGTCTGAAGCGCAGAGGACAAAACAAGCAAGTTACCTCTTAGCCATGCGTCTTGGAGACTCTGCTTGTGGCTATGTAAGAAAAGAGGAAGGAGGACCAAGAATCCACCAATTCCCCAATCCATAGATGTCAATAGACTCTCTTTATCCATCTTTATCAGTGGCACAAAGGTGGTAGAACCGTAAGAAATGAATCACTGGCCAAAGGTGGTATCCGACAGGCGTGAAACAATCCCGGCTGAACCTCTTGGATCAACCCCAGGTACGGTAGGAATTAGGACCCCCAAGGTCAGAATTTTATACATATATTATATATATATATTATATTATAATATCTATATATATAATATATAATATAATATATATATAATATATATATTATATATTATATAATATATATATATATTATATTATATATATATATTATATATTATATAATATACATATATATATTATATAATATATATATAATATATTATATATAGATATTATATTATATATATAACTGTATATATATATATAACTATAATATATATATATATAACTATAATATATATATATATAACTATATATATAATAAAACGGGTTCTTTGATCTTTGTTCGGGAAGCTTTTGGGAGTTCGCATGTAAAAATAAATGTGTATGTGTATGTATGTATGTGTATATATATATATATCATCCATATCCGGCTTGGCTACCCTATCTCCATCCATGCTTTTCATGCAGCTTTTAATGCAGCTCTAATTCTAAATCCAGCCATTTTCACTCCCACTGCAAGGCCCATTCAAGCCATATTAGACAGCATTAGTTCACCGTTGTTCACCTTGTCTCTCACCCCTTTCAACTTCCAAGCCCCATTGGAAACGACCAATAGGATCTATGATTCCAATCAGCCAATAGGCTAATTTTGAACTATTAATAACTATGACAGCGTAAGTATTCAACATTCTTAAACCACCATGCGCACCAGCATCGGCACCATTAAACATTTCCATCCAACTTGGGGGTGCGGTTCCACTAAGAAGTGGTTGTAGTGGTTGGTCCAGGCTTCGTTTTGAAATAGGCCCCCCCAACTTATGAAGATTATTAACCTATACCCCTTCATAACTTGTAACCCAGGGGGCCGTTTCAGCTGCTCAAACAGCTCGGCGGCTTGCGTCAGCCGCCGTGGGTCATCCAGGATTCGGGGCAACTCCTCGAAAATTTCCAGGCCGCTCGTGCTCGACATGGACGGTGATCGGTGAAGCCCGTGTCGGCCAAATTTGCGTTTTATTTCATGCACTGGCATTGAAGATTTGATGATGACCATGGATAACTCTTCTCATGACCTGGTCATATTTATCTGATGTTGGGATTTGAGATGATTTAGATGCAAATCCGTTCAAATCTCTCCGGTTTTCCTTCACTTTTCCAAAGTACCGCACATGCACAATGGTGACTGCCTTGCAGGGAGAGTTTGGAAAAGATATCTATGATTATCTATGTCTACAACGACCAGTTGTGACCAGAGCGCTCATGAATGCCCCTATGACACAAAATCCGCACAAGTTGCAATTACAGTGCTCCCGAGAAAATGTGAGTGTTTTGCTTCCGAAGGCTGTCGCCAGTGGCTGGTTGTCTGTATGATGGATGCTTGCAAAATTTTGAATTTGGAAAGCTTCGGCCTGGTTTCCCAGCATACTTCCTTGTCAGAATGAGTGCGAATTGGTTTCCCCCATCTGCAGTGCTCCGAGTACTCCTCTACATGTTGTTGCCATTTGCCGCTACTGTTGATCCACTGCAACGCAAAAGCATGTAGATTCTTGGAACATCAAGAAACTCATGCATCTACATAGCATGATGACAGGGGGAATGATGTCAGATACGCCAAGCGACCTTCTATATACGGTCCCTTGGTAGGGATTCCTGACTTTGGATCTAGAAACCACTACAGATATAGAAATCCAATATGGACTGATGGATTGATATGGCAATCTTGTGGAATATCAATTCCGGTGCAATTACCCTCTGGTTATTTAACATAGCCATGGGTAAACCATCTATAAATGGGCAATTTTCCATGGCTATGTTAAATAACCAGATGGTAACATTAATTAACAACTCGATGTTCACGCGAACGACCATGGCCAATTGAACGTCTTTTTGCCACGCTTCGAGGGTCCGGGACGAATCTGTCAGCTACTTGGTAGGACAGGTCCTGCCACCGTTGTGAAATGGGTGAAGCGAAGGAGAAGATTCTCAATTCTTGCCAGCCTCAGTACCATGGTATGACTTGCCAGTTTGCCAGCTATTTGGGCGTGTCTGAAAATGGGGTTATATCATTTTCCGTATTTGCCCCAAGTAAAAGGCAGGTTTGACAAATGACACGTGAAAATTTGCACTGTTTAAACTATGAAATTTGGGTCAAGAGGTACAGTGAAAATAACATACGCTCCCACCATCATGCAAAGACTCTCCATGACAGCTATGTGACCATCCTATCGTGTGCTCTGAGTTCAGAGTTCCCCAAGTTGGGCTCGGCCCAATCCTGTCAAGATCCGAACAGCCACTATCCATTTCAGATGTGGATGCGGACTAATATACCATTCCAATAGATGGGCAAACTGTGGATCTCATATCTACATGCCGTCAGGACGCCCATTGCATCCGCAGAAGCACAATGATTGGTGAGTAGTGATGAAATCCTTCGGTAGCGGTTTTTAGTTTCATATTCTTTGGTGGGATCCCCATCTTTGGTGAGATCCCCACTTTTTGCGGCCCAGAGACAGCCGCCGGGGCAGGATAGGATCGAACAGTCCGGGCACAACTGGGATCTGAAGGGTTCCTGTGGCAATGCACAGGTCTTCGTGTTGTTCTGCCATTTTTGCCCCGGTCCCAGCTATATATATAGATATATAATGTGTATATATATAAATATTTCTTCATATTTACAACACAATATGGATATTATGTATATATACATACACCATGTTTTATACATATGTATATACATATATATATACACGATATATGCACACACCATATGTATATATGTATATGCATATATGCATATCAGTATATATATATATATATATATATGTCAAGTGACAACATGACCTGCCTGATGTCCTCTGCATGCCTTCGGGATGGCCTTCGGATGCCGATTTGGCGAGCAAAGGGCGAACGATTTGGGCGACGTGGTGGAAACGTGGTTAAAACGTATTCAGGTCATCCTGCTATAAATGACATTGAATATGGGATAATCCATGATTATCATGGGATAAAACGATTTTTTACCATGGTAGAGCCCAAAAAATATGGGGTGAGACCTCTAGTAATCAAACATAGCAAGGGAAAATCCACCGTTAAGAGATGTTTTTTTCATGTATAGACCTCCATTTATAGAGGATTTTTCCATTGCCACGTTTGATTACCAGTGGGTATTCAGTTATTCACCCTTTTCGAGCTCAGCTCATCCAATGTACTGATGGAACTGGGGATGGAATACAGAGGTCAGGGAATGGTTGGTAAAGGGGCAGTAGCGACCTTCCATGGTTGCTTTCAGTACGAATAGGCCAGCGGAATCGAAGTGCTAACCCAGTTATCATCCCTGTAGAATCTGACTTGCCCCGAGAGAATGACAAAAAATGAAGGGGCTTGAGGCGCAGGTGCCTCCATGGGGGTTGCCAGTGCAGGCAGAAAAACCATGTGATATGTGCAGTTTTGCAAGAAAACAATATGGAGGAGTCACCAATTGCCAAGCAATATCTGCATGCTCTTCAGTGCAACATGAGGGAATCAGGAAACCCGCAGTGCACATTTGGCAGCAAAATCAAATAATGAATTTGGATGAATTTGGAACTTCCCTGTTAGGATGTTATCCCATTTTACAATGTTAACTTGCACGAGCTAGTGCCGAAATAGAATATGCGTTTTCCAGGTGTTCTGGAACTTGCCAGGTTTGAGATTGCAATCGTATGTGCGCCAGACAAGGATCAGCTACACGTTGCCAAAACTTTGCCTATAGGAAGTTATATTCCTGTATGTCCTGTATGTAGCATAGCCATACCTCAGATACCTTAAAATCAGGACAAAAAAACAATATTGAACTCATTTTCCAAGCAAAACATATTCGTTACTTTATGATCAGGGAATGATGCTCATATGATTGATTATTCATGTAGAGCTGCCAGTGCCACGGCATGAAGGCTCAAACTAAGAGCCTACGATGGAGAGGAATATATATATATGTATATTATATATATATATATATTGTACATATATATATATACATAGCACCATAGTTTTCTGTTTCAAAAAAGGCGGAACAAGGAAGCACCTTGCAACATGGAGAAATCGCCGAATGGAGACGTATCCAGTCCTTTTTTGGTTGGCCTTTTTGAAATTGTTTCTGCATCTTGAATCTTTCATGTTAATCAATGGAACCATAACCATTCAGAACAGATAAAAATATTCATTCCGAATGGAGACAAAACTTCACCAAAAGAATGCATCAACCTCGATGTAGAATGGAGAAATATCGGTTCTGAATGGGGAATGAATGCTAATTGATGATGATAAATTGTCAGTTCTTGCTGGAAAATGTTGTTAACAGGGTCATCTAATCGATATATACTTTTGTTCAAGTTCCACCAAAAGGAATGAAACACCACCTGTTCAGAACCAACAACTTATCATTCAGCATGAAGATTTCTCCAATTCATTTTCGAGCACATAGACACTTGTCTCTTCACCAGGGGAACAAACAAAATTCCATTCAGATGCTTCATTTCTACATTGCTGTCCTTGTGGCTGCAGCACCTCTGAGTTGTCTTTTTTGGGGGGGAAAATTTACAGACCCAGGTTTCTCAACTCTTGGGTCCTGGGTGATTTTTTTTGCTAGCTTCCAAATCCAGGTTTTTCCACTTGAAACATGTTTCACCTTCACAAGGGTGAATCCGTATTCCCTACGCATACTGAAACGCTTCTTTTTTCGTTTCCCCGCCAGCTGGTGCAAGTTAACATGTTACAAGGGTGCATGCAAAATCTGTACTTCAAGTGAGTAGTACGCCAAATTTCATGGCTGATCATCATTTGATATCAGGATGTAAATTACTCATTGTTGGACTTGTTGGACAAACCAAAACAGCATATTGTGGAGTTAAAACACCTCCTAATTACAAATTATCATATCGATTCATATCCCCATGATATACCAAGTTTTACTTTTGACTATATGTCTATGAGTCAAAACCCTCGCACCCTACCGCAAAATACGAGTAGCTGGGGAAAATGGATGGCTATTCCCCCAGTCATGTGGTAACGATAATTTTGACCCATCCTCATTTTTGACCTATCCGACCTATCAACCAAGCCATACCAAGCCACTGAGACCGCACAACTTCTTCCTGGCACAATTTGTTCGCAGACTTAGCAGACTTCGTGGGGGTCGGGTGAGAACGATTGGCCCAAAAATGGATTGTTTAAACCCCCTGGGGTTAACTGATGGTTTATAAATGGATGATCGAAGGAAGTTTAGAAGTCAAACTTCCGACAATATGGAGAGATGAAAAAGCAGTCAGCAGGGAGAAGAGTCAACAGAGAAAAGATCAGAAGAAAGAAGATGCAGGTGCGCGAAAAGGTAGGAAAGTCGCGAAACACTGTGTTCTTTCGTGGTTTTGTGGCTCCGGAGGGTTGAAAAGTAGCCTCGCTAAAGCGGCGGGTGCGGAGACATCTGGGGAGATGAGAGATGAAAAGTTGCACGCCGTTGTGGCGCGAAGCTGATTTCGAAGTGAAAAGGTACAAAACACCGCAGCGTCGGACCACTTTTGGAAGTTCCGATGTTGGAAAAGTGCACGGCGTTGTGGCGCGAAGCACATTTGGAAGTAAAATGTGTTATTTACTAAGGGGTTCGGACCACTTTTGGAAGTTGAGATGTTGAAAAAGTGCACAACGTTGTGATTTCAAAGTCAAAATGTACAAAACACACCATGGTCGGACCACTTTTGGAAGTTGAGATGTTGAAAAAGTGCACAACGTTGTGATTTCAAAGTCAAAATGTACAAAACACACCATGGTCGGACCACTTTTGGAAGTTGAGATGTCGCAAAAGTGCACGCCGTTGTGGCGCGAAGCACATTTCGAAGTCAAAATGTACAAAACACACCATTCTCGGACCACTTTTGGAAGTTGAGATGTTGAAAAAGTGCACGCCGTTGTGGCGCGAAGCACATTTCGAAGTCAAAATGTTAAAAACACTAGGGGTTCGGACCACTTTTGGAGGTTCAGATGCTACACTCCACTACACTACTCTACATTACAATACACTACACTCCACAACAACTACAACTACACAACTACACTCCACTACACTAAATTACACTACACTACACTCGGCTACACTACATTACACTACACTACCTTCCACTACACTACCTTCCACTACACTACAACTACACAACTACACAACTACACAACTACACAACTACACAACTACACAACTACACAACTACACTCCACGACACTCCACTACACTGAATTACACTACACTACATTACACTACGCTACACTCCACTACACTACACTACATTACACTACACTACACTACCTTCCGCTACATTTCACTACATTACACTACACTACACTCCACTACACTACAACTACACAACTACACTCCACTACGCTCCACTACACTCCACTACACTACATTACACTACACTACACTCCACTACACTACATTACACTACACTACACTACCTTTCACTACACTTCACTACATTACACTACACTACACTCCACCACACTACAACTACAACTACAACTACAATTACACTACACTCCACTACACTACACTCCACTACACTACATTAAACTACACTACACTGAATTACACTACACTGCGCCCCACTACACTACACTACATTACACTACACTACAGTACCTTTCACTACACTACACTACATTACACTACACTACACCCCACTACACTACAACTACACAACTACACTCCACTACAGTCCACTACACTCCACTACGCTAAATTACACTACACTACACTACATTACACTACACTACATCCCACTTCACTACACTACATTACACTACACTACACTACCTTGCACTACACTTCACTACATTACACTACACTACACTCCACTACACTACAACTACAACTACAACTATACAACTACACTCCACTACGCTCCACTACACTCCACTACACTAAATTACACTACACTAAATTACGCTACAGTACATTACATTACACTACACTCCACTACACTACACTGCACTCCACTACACCACCTTCCGCTACACTTCACTACGTTACACTACACTACACTCCACTACACTACAGCTGCAACTACACAACTACACTTCACTACACTCCACTACACTCCACTGCACTAAATTACACTACACTACACTACATTACACTGCACTCCACGACACCCCACTACACTAAATTACACTACACTACACTACATTGCACTCCACTACACTATATTACACTGCACTACACTACCTTCCACTACACTACACTCCACCACACTACAACTACACAACTACACTCCACTACACTAAATTACACTACACTACACTACATTACACTACACTACACTACACCCACTACACTACACTACACTACCTTCCACTCACTTCACTACATAACACTACACTACACTCCACTACCCTACAACTACAACTACAACTACACAACTACACTCCACTACACTCAATTACACTACACTAAATTACACTACACTAAATTACACTACACTACACTACATTACACTACACCCCACTACACTACATTACACTACACTAACTTCCACTACACTTCACTACATTACACTACACTACACTCCACTACACTACACTACATTACACTACACTACACTACCTTCCACTACATGACACTCCACTTCACTACAACTACAACTACAACTCCAACTACACAACTGCACTCCACTACACTCCACTACACTAAAGTACACTACACTACATTACACTACACTACACTACATTCCACTACACTCCACTACACCACACTACATTACACTACACTACATTACACTGAATGACACTGCACCACAGATAGACAGGGTAGATAGTCAGAGAAAGAGACAGAAAGAGAGAGAAAGTCAGGAGACCTCAAGCACCTTTCGGTCCATCAGTGGCTTCGCTCTGCGATCCCTGATTCACAACAACCAATCTCTCCTATAGGTTTCCTATTTTTGAAACTTCCGCCACCGCCTTGTGCGGTACTACTGGTAATAAAAACCATCAGTTAAAAAACAATGTTATTAAATGGGTTTCAATGGTCCATGGTTCAATAGCTCAAAAAAGGATGGTAACCAAATCAGAATGGATGGATTCCATGTAGCAGCTGCCCGCCTCGCCGAAAAAGCCACCTTGCTGTGAACGCCCAGTCGCTATCCGCGACTGGGTGTCATCCGTGTTTCCGACTGGACCCATATCAATCCCAGGAAAATATCAGGGAAACGATATGAAATGATGATCTGAGGTCCGAACCGGTCGATTTGCTCGTGTTCCTGGCGGAAATCCAACCCCAAAAATGGCAAAGTCAAATCCTAAAGTGGTAAAAGTTGCATGTCTATCTGGGGGTTAACACGATCATATTCAATCCATTGTAATTACATTCTAGACTTGGTGCTGATTCGGATTTGCATTTGACCCTCCCTGTGAAAACGTCTGGACCAAAATCTTTGGATCTTCCTTTTGTATTCGGCTTCATCCACTCAAAGTCAGCGAAAGCTGAATTGGATTGCACCATTAGATCGAGAATCATGAGATGGATTTCACCATTAAAAATATGGTCTATGCTCAACACAATTACATTGGATAATATATGGATAAATGGCAAATGTCCATATATTGCCACATATTTCCCCATGTATTTCCATGATATTCCCTGCCATGGGAGTCCCATGCACCATGGTGCACCACCCTGCCCAGCTCCCTGGCTCTGCCTCAGTTCCCAGGCACGTGTCTTTGCCAGTTTCTCCAACTGAGATAGACGGTTGTTGTAAGCACCTGGCGTCATCGGGCCGGGGAAATCGATGAAATTCCATCAAATTCATGGCATGATGTCATGAGATTTATGGGACATGGGAAATGTACGGGAAAATGATGGGAACTTTATGACATTCATGGGAAAATCCTTGAAATCCACTGCTTGAGCATCATATTGGCCATTAGAATGGATGAATTTGGGGGTAACTAACCCATTTTCAGAAACCAGAAACATCCTACCCTATGTTCAGACACACCCACATTAGGTCTTTGTTCTGGGGTGGTTCACCAAATGTCTAATCCACCCAAATACGGGATAATTATACATATATGAAGCCAGTGAATCATGAGGTTGAATCATATCATAATCTAGTTATCTTGACAGGAGTGTTATGCTGGTCGATGGTTTATGACAATGGGGGAAAACACCATTGGATACAGCACTCCAACGGCCATGATATGCTAAACCATTCGCCATTGGGCTGTTTTCCCCCACGAAGCAACTTGGCAACAAAAAAATGGTCGGAACCAATCAAGACACTCGGACAAATACACATTTTGGCGGTTTGAATCACTTATGGACCCGACTATTGACAGATGCGTGATCATATTCATACACAGCATAATGTGTTAACCTAAGAATAAACTACCACACTCAAATAACTCAAATAACAGGAAATAGGTATTGCAATTCACATTCCCAAATGGATGGTTTATAATGTCTACCACATTGATCCAAAATTGGGGTCCCCATAGGCTGATAATCTGCTTATAGGGGGCCAAGAACTGGAAATTTTCCGAGCAAAAAAAAATCCAGAAATAGCCGGGCTTTCCATATAGTTTGCAGGGCAAATCTCCAGTAAATGATGGTTGAAATGATCATGATTACATCATTATCCATTAAAGTAATCAATATTAATCATCGAGATTATCCCCATGTGATTTGTCAAATCACATAATCACCCTCAAATAGAGCTACTGTACCATTTAGAGCCATAGAACTTGGGGACCATATCCCTTGAAATCTAGCCCTAAAATGATCTAAAAAAATAGGTCGGTTCCAAAAATTTTGGTACCAACGGGATCCAAGGAGGCCTAGGTAAGAGGTGAAGACGGATCCTTCTGGCGGTGAGTAGCGGCAGCCATCCTGTGGGGGGATCCCAAGGGGACCCTGGGTGGGGGCTACCCACTTTAGGAAACCGCCACAGATATCCAAAAATAGGGGTACCCCCGAATGATGGGATTTTCCGTTAGAAAAAAACATCTATTTTGGGATACCTCCATTTATGGAACCCCCCATGTTTTAACCATGTTTGAGGTAAATGTTGCCAACCGATTTGTTGCAACCATAGTTCTGCACGCAGAGTGGGACAGGATTCAGCTAGTAGACGAAGCATGTTAAGTACATATTCCATCTGGCTAATTCAAATGGTATCATCTTGAATGGTATATTTCAAAGTATTTCAAAACTTTGTTGGTACATATCGTATATCATCTTGGATGATCTGATATATATCAAAGCCACTTGTACTTCTTGAGAGATCAGTTGTATCAAGCGATGATTCCTGCTCCACACCGCACAGTGGCATGAAGGCACCTGAGGCCACCTAAATAATTTTGAATCCCATCTCACTGCCATAGGTTAACCTCTATCGGACTCTATCCTCTTGGCAGCAGGCACAATCCCATGGATGTTTCATGGTTTTTTTTGTTCAACGCCTTGTACAGTAGATCAAAGCCACCAACTTGAAGTTCATTGCCCGCCAAATATTTCTCGAAGTCCAAAAGCCTCGGGTCGTTCGTTTGTGACGGGAAAACGGGAATCATCCCAATGATGCTGCTAAGAGCTGATAGGGCTGAGCGTCATATTAGGTATATATGTATGGTATGATATTAGGTATATGTATGGTATATGTACCATTAAGTTACAGGCTGTATGTTTTGTTCGGTTGTGCTGGGGATTCGATCTGAACCATCAAGAGGGTTCTCGCCAGCAAAAACCCTGCAATTAGGAAAATTGCCTAGCAAACAGTAAATCCAACAATAAGCATCAATAAGCCATATGTTACCACTTGTACCATGGTCAAAACGTGATATATTCAGTATGGTCAATCGGAATCCGTGTAATGGATGCAAATCCCTCTTAGTACATCGACGACTACCCCAAGCATGCCCAATTTGCCCAAGTTTTGACAATGGGACATGTTGGATTGTGCTTTTTCTGGGTTTACCACATTACTTGCCGTCCAACATCAATGCATCCACAAGACGTTAGCAGATCATCCAGCAGACCGTACTTCATTTCGTAGTCTGCCACGGTATTTGCCGTCAACGAGGGTGAAGCATTCACCTCAAATGACCAGGCATTTGCCATTTCTTGGATGATCATAAGATTGTTTTGAGAAAAACTACAGGAAACGATGGTATATGTTGTCAAATCAGTAGTTACAGTACGAGGGCTTCCTGCAAATGGTCCCTTCAACTTGGAGAGACCTTGAGCATGTGTGTTTAATACATTTTCACAACAGGTCCGAATTTCACCTGCTGATATTTTTTCTTTGTGACTTCCTATCTGGAAATGATGAAAAAAACTAAAGGCTTAAGGGCTGACTGATTGGTGGTTGAACCAACCCACTGAAAATATGTTTATGTCAATCGGAATCATCATCCGAATTCTAGGCTTGAAAATAAACACATTGGAAACCACCAACCAGATGATCCATCTTCTGTTTCTATCTTTGGAGTTTCACCACATCTGAAAATCATGTTGTAGGTCTATTGTTTTTGACCAGTGAAGGAAAAATAGTTTCTATGATTTGGATATAGGTCAACCGTGAGATATCAAGAAGTTGACCGTTTGAATGAACAAATCTGCGGTATGCAGTCATTAAAATGTTGACCCCTCCCCTTATGTATTGGTTGAATTTCCAGTTATTGATGGCTAGTGTTGGTCCCTTTTTTTGGTTTGTTAATAAGTTCCTTCATCCCCTTCTCCGACGGGTAAATCACGAGAAAATTCCCTGTCTACTGACTAGATGTATTGTTTCTGGCGGTAGAATCCGAAGCTTCAATCATGTCAAATCCCTATATCATATTTATATCATCTCTGGATATAGGGATCATTTAACCAATGTCAATCTGCCTATACTTATATCATGTCAAATGTCTAACCTGGATAATTGTAACCATTCAAGAAGCTGAAATAACGCAAAATTAATCAAATTTACAATTGTTACCCTTACAAACCATCATTCCTTGTGCCGTCGTAGTGACGTCGTTAACTATGATTTACCAAGATCTAAAAATGGTTTATAGATAATTTCTATATTTACGGTACAGTATAACTTTCCTACCAGTACATATTCTGGTTATTCATACTATATATGTCATACTTAGAATCACCATATAACTTACCCAAATAATGGCAATTGTCATATATATATATATTATAGATATAATATATATATATAGAGATAACTCTCCTGTAATTGCTGTGCAGCAAATTATTACAGGACCTTTCAAAAAATGCCCAGCTAAGTACCATTAATGAAACTAATATGCAACATGTATCACATTATCACATAATCATAGAATTACCACTATCTAATAATGTGTGATTATTACTTACCATTATCATAGAATCATAGAAGTAATTACCTTTAATTTTCGTGTATAATTACCAGATAATCACAGGTTTTTAGCGTGTTTATCATCATTATCAGTCATTCAGCGTCTTTCAACGAAGCGTTCCGTCTCACCTGTCCGCGAACCGCAACGAACCGGGCCTCGAGAAGCCAGGGCTTGTAGTCCACGTCTATCAGAACATCGTAGCCGTACATCTCAAAGCAATGCTTGTCGTTGATCATGACCTGCAAAAAGGGCCAAAAAGGCAATGATTAATGGATAATTATGACATGATAAACGTCATTGAATGGAGATTTGCCCTCCTGTAAACATATCAAAAAATGTGGAACACCCACGATGAAAGTAGATCACTTTCTGAATGGGAAACCTCTTGGGTTTGCCACGTCTTTGTGTATGTTTACCATATACATAGTATAATATAACAATATATAACATACATATGTATGTATAGTACACACACACACGCGTTACAGAGCAACTCCAAAAAAATAGAAAAATAAGATCATCCAAAAATAGAGATAGATAGTTGTAAGTTCTAAATGGCTGTTCAGCTGGCTGCACATTCCGATTCATAATCATATCGTAATATATCATAATATCCAAACCCATCACTGCATGCACAAAAAAAACATGAAGTCCCATTTGAAAGTCACTTCATTGACCCTTCATGTCTCTTCTCGGCGCCCAATCGGCGCCGGCAGGACTCCAGGACCCACCTTCTGGACCGCAAAGAGCGAATGGATCACAATCTCCTGGGGCCCATTTCAGAGGTCCCTAAAAGAACCACAACGGATAGATAGTGATGATATCTCCACGTAATGTGGGATTCACCCAATGCCATAAACATATAAACCATCCCCAAAAGGTAGGTAAAAACGATATTGGGTTTATTATAAGTGTCATCCGATTATATACATATAAATTGATTTATATTATAATCACAATTAACAATGAATTGTACACAAATAAAATCTTCTACAAAGTACCATCCGGTCATCAAACGTGGCAATGGAACATGGCCGATTTATAAATGAATTTCCCAACTGTAAACATCTATTTAGTTCCGGGAAATTCCATTGCTAGATTTAATGACACCGGAAGGTAACATTACTATCAATCACTATTATTCATCATTGCAATATTAATCACTAGTATTTACATGTATTTACAATTTTTAAGCTAATATATCCCATGGGAATCCCATATTTTTTCCATATGTTAATTATCCATAATTATCCCATTAAATTATTGAATTCCTTTGCCACCCTCCACTAAACTAACAATTAGCTATGGAAAATCCACCATTTGTTGATGATGTGCCCAGCTATAAACCTGAATTTATAGAGGATTTCCCATGTTTTCCTGTGGTTTTCCTGTGGTTTTCCTGTGGTTTTCCACGTTTTTCGCAGCCAATAGAGGACCTCCTTTTTCCGGCCGATTGGATTCCCATGGACGCCTCGATATCACCAAAGAGCCGATTCACCACCTCCACTCCAGCCTCGACGGGATGAGGGGGAACAGTCAAAAGTAGCTTTACCTTAAGTACATATATATATATACCTGTAACTTTAAAGGGATGCGATTCTATATCCTTTAAAAAAAAGACAGGTTATCCACATGAAAGAACATCTTTTACCAGACAGGGGCGTACTTTCAAGAAAGGACGTACTTTGCACCAAAATGATCCAACCCCATGCCATGTTCATCTAAATACAAATTCTTATCATTGAATATCTTATCACCCCATCCTACCAACCACCCTCCCGGTCATCCATCCGCTTTCAATGCAGCGGATTTTGGTCCGATGCGGGTGTGAGTTGTGGGTGAAAAGATCGCCAGGCACCTCAGAGCCGGAGCTGGGTGTGTCAATGATGAATAAGGGTAATTAATCACTTTTTTGGGAGGGGTTATTCAAATATGATATATTTAAATCAAATTAAGATCAGTTTAAAAATCAATCTCTCGGGATACAACATATTTCAACAGGGTTAAAATGCATTATCCCAATACTCCACTATTGAAATCCCAAGCAAGAAAGGCTGTAGGAAAAACACATCTAGGGATACCTAGGGGCACGGCCATCTATGATTGACAATTGAGGTTTGGGATTGATATATGTTAATTATTTGGGTTAAGCAAATGCTGGTAGCTTTGTTCGTGGTTGCTAGCTTTTTCTGCTCAGGCTATTTGGTGTTGACCCTGCTATCAACATGATGGTAGATGAACTAGGTTTCAATGATGGGGATGCAGTTACCGCAATGGTACCTATTCCCGGTCTTGCTAATGATTGGGAATCTTGCCGTGGCATCCGTGCCCTGGTTCATCAAGAAATCCTGCGTCTTGATCAAGAAGAAGCTCACCCGGCACCAGTGGCCCAGGAATATCAACTTTGTTTCCCTCATGAATGCTGTCTTGGGCATCATGCGGTCGGATGGGGAGGACCACCACAAGAATGGTTTCAAAAAAACACCCAGCAGTTATATGTTTTGTTTTTACCATTCCTTATTTTCCATTTTCTTTCAATCGACCTGTGGCTCATACATAGTGTGTGTGTCTCTCTCCCATGGTTTTTAATACATGCACCTTTGCCTGCATCCATGTACATGCACATCAGCTTTTTGAATGGGAAGGACAGTACTGGTGCCATTGTTCCAGCCGAAGATGGTGGCGACCATGGTGATGGTGAAAATGAAAACCCAGTAGACCCAGTGGACCCAGCACCTTTAGCCGATTCAGTGGCAGAAGCCAGTGAGGAGAATAGAGAAGATGATGATGAGTATGAGCCATCCACGCCCGTGGCGGATGCCCCGGATGAACATGGAAGTGCTCCGGCCAGTGGAGTCTTGTCCCGGGGGAAGTCAACCATGGAAATCGAAGTGGCTGTGAATGATTCTTCGGATGAGGACATGAATGAGGACATGGATGATATCCCGCCTACACAGGTGGTTCCGGACCCAGAGTCTTCCGCCACAGCTTTGCCAGATGGCAAGGAGGAGTCTGAGTATGACATGTACACCCCAGAAGACAAGAAGCTTCCTCTCTACCCAAACCCTGAGATGGAGGCCGAGAAGACAGCTAAGAGGGCTACACAGAAATCCCTGAAGAACAAGAAGGCCTTTGAGGAAATCCCTTCTGAGGGCTTTGATTCGTCAGTTTCGCTGGAGACCATGGAAGAGGAACTGGCACGCCTTATGGAGCAACGGGACTTGTTGACCTTTGGGCTTATTTCAAAATAGTTTATATTGGACAGTGGCAGTAGATAGGGGGAGGGGGGGGGTACTACATTAGCGAACTTAATCCCATTTAATTTTGTTAACACCTGACCCATCTGTCCTAACCTCCTTTTTTCTCCCATTGGTTGTAACCAAACATGTTTCTTACCCTAAATTGTATTATCCCTCTGAGATCCGCCAATTTTCATCTTAGGAAAGCCAAGAGGGCGTCCGCATTCCCCAGCGAAGTGATTGAGATCCCGGATACTTTGGGCCTACCTTTTGGTGATGACCAGGTTGAGACAGTTCCCATGACTGATTCTATGGTGGACCAGAGTGTGGACAAGTTGTTGCATGAGATGGAAGAGAATGATAAGCTGTTGGCGAAGATCAACCAGGGACTTGGTAATAAGGGCGACCAGAAGGAGCCAGAGGCTACCCATCTATTTTGAAAAGGTTTGAATCCATTTCCACATTCAACCTCCCCTCATACACATGTATATGTGTTTGCTAGTTACAATAAGTTTGATACTCAATCTTATTAGGTGCTTCATTTTTCTATGTTTCCTGCACTCATTCTCTGTAAGACATTTATAATTTTTGTTTAAATCATTCCCTTCCAATTTTCCTGAAAATACCCAGCCTTTCACACCTTCACTGTTCCCAGGTTCTTCTTCGACGAGACCAGCTGCGCATCAAGAGCCAGGGCGCTGAGGACAACGAGGGCGATGAGAATGGGAAGGATGAGGGAGAGAACCATGGCCGAGGCCGCGGTCGTGGCAGACCCCGAGGCAAAGGCAGAGGAAAGGGCAGAGGAGGCAAGGGCAAGAGCAAAGACAAGAGCAAAGACAAGAGCAAAGACAAGGGCAAAGGCAAGAGCAAAGACAAGAGCAAAGACAAGAGCAAGGCACCCGCAAGTTCATCTGCAAAGCCTGACAAAGCCCCCAAACCTCGGAAGAGTACCAAGCCGGACAAGCCTGCCAAGTGTGACAAACATGATGAGGTTGGAAAATCTGACATGCCTGAGAAGCCTGAGGAGCCTGAGAAGAAGCCTGCCAGGAGTGCCAGATCCAAACGAACCAAGTCTACAACAAGTCCAAGTGCAGGCAATGAGGTCAAGCCGGCAGAGTCGAAGGCAGCACCATCTCGGAAGAGAGCAAAGGCTGCAGTTGCAGAGGAAACGGAGGGCACCGAGAAGGCTGATGGGGAAAAGAAGAAGGAGAAGGGAGAACCTTCAACATTTGCCCGAAGGCGCCGACCCAAGACCCAGACCTTGAAATGGGACAATTTGAAGCGGGTGTTCAACGCAGAGATCCGCCCTTCTCTTGTCGCCAAGGGCATGGGAGCATCCCTGCATGAGGATTGCCACAGGGGGTTCACATAAAGGTTCACCATTTTTCCACTTTTACCACATTTTTTATATGTTTGTTCCTCAAGTTACCAAAGCTATTCCATGAGAATTCCTCCTGTTTTGCCCCATTTAAGACAAACATATCTTTCGATCTTTTGTATATCAGTTTTCCTCCCACACCCAGCATGGTATATATAATAATGATACAATTATTTTGCCCTGGCCCCAGGACTATTTCTGGACATTTTGTTCCAACCGATGGGCGGGGAAGGATGTGACGGCAGAGAACATGTTGGAGGAGGCCCAGGAGGCTGCTAGCCAATACCTTCTCACAGTGGATGGGATCAATTGAACCAATCTAAAGGGATTACCCTTTGGAGCCTCAAGGCCTTAGACACATACAAAGAAAAAGCTTGGGCATTGGACCTGTATCCCCACGTGTTGGCAGGTAGCCTAATATATGATGATATATGATATAAGTATACGATGCGTATGTGTTTTTGATTTTGTTATTGCCACAAAAAAGCAAATATTATATATTATGCAACCCTCGACAGTTGATACCTGAAAGGGGTTACTCTGCTTTTGGACACGTCGGATGCTCCGTTTGTCTCACAATGTGTTACATGCGAATCTTTGAGATTCGAAATCCCAGTGTTTAGGGGTTCATGAGATCAACCGTTGCCAAGAACAATGACCAGTGCTCCGGTCTTAGGTGCAGGTGTGGCTTGGCTTTCAATCACCCTACTTACTTTGGATAGATCAAGCATTTGAACTTAATGAATTAAAAGACCACCACATTTTTTTTTGGTCAGCCATGCCTCACATGATGGAGCCCTGCTGGTCTGGGTAAGCTTCGTTGATGGGAGAAAAAGGTGCCAATCCGATCAGCGTCAATCAGCCTAACCCCACAATGCCCAATCGAAATTCATCAAGTTCTAAGGTGGATGGACTTCCCATTGGAAGGGTGCTGTGGGGTATTCCAATTCTTTCTAAGCAAATGCATATATATTTCGATTTGTTGGATCACAAGGGTTCTTCAGATCTGCCCTTTCAACTCTAAATGGATTTCCTGATATTGGTCCTTAATTTATATATGCTGTTGTAATGTGGTATTATATATAATATCCCTGCCTTATCTACATTCCTTGCCCTCTGGGGTGTGGCACTCATGGATCACCTGCCACGCTGGCTGAGGTCACTCCTGCCATGTCGGGGCGAGGCGATGGATGGAAGCGCCGCCTATTGGATGAGGATGTGTTCCTACGTGCCCTCTGGGAATCGGATGGGGGAAATATCCAGGGAATTGAAGGGAAACCTGATCTATTGGATGACACCCTCATAGATTTATACCAATACAGCATTGTGGGAAAACATCTTCTCCCCCCAAAAGAAAGATGGTACCAAGAAACTGTTTGAGAACAAGCGTGTTTAATCAACATGATTTGGCTGACATGTTTTTTCCATCTCTAAAACAAGGCATTGACTCCCCTCCTGGGTTTTGTATGAAAAGACTCCCAAACAATCAATGATGAACTTAACTGCATGGAGAAATGTTGGCAAAAATCAAGACACAAATTGTTTTCTTGGCTATCAGTCTATAGGCCTGTGTTCTTAGTTTCTCGAAGCCGTTCATCGCAGAATTTTGGCCACAGTGCATGTTTGGGGCTGAAAAGCCATGGCGTTGGGGTTGAACACTGCCCACCGCTTGGACACGGTCTTGAAACGGCTCCATTACTTGGGGGCGCCAAAGGCCAGGTTCTCCCTGTGCTGAGTTTAGCTGTAAAGTAGATCAATACATCAACCTGTATTGTGGGGCTGTCCTTCTTTTTCTGTCCTCCGGGTCACTTCTTACATCTGAATCCTGCCAGATACTGAGTGGCCTGATCATACTACTTTCCCTGAGCGACAACGTGGTGTTGTTTTCTGATGTGCCTTGCCTGCGCATTTTTCAAAACAAAAACATAACCCTTTTGAAATTTGTTGCTAAGAAACTAGCCCAATCTAGTCTATAGAACATTTCTGGTGACTCTCATTGGGACAGCTTGCAAAGTATTGACTGTAGTACCCAACCATAGTCCATCCATTAATGAATCTGTGGTCCTGGTCCCATGTCTACATGCCTAAGGCTTACAGCTTTGTGGAGCTGTTCTGTGGAGATGCTTGGGTATCACGAGTCATGCGCAGTGGTGGATATCAAACAGCAAGCCTTGATATCCGTTTGGGTGGTTCTACATGGGCCCAGAGAAAAAAGCAAAATCCATTTGATCTTTGTGAAGATTCTGGGTTCCTGCTACTTTGGAGGCATATAGTTTTCAACTTGGTTTCAGTCATAGTAAGATGCTGAACTTTCTACATTTTTCCACCTATTGATGTGTTATCATTGCTTAGGTGGGGCCTAGTTCGACCAACATATGTTCTTAAATCACAAATTAATTCTGTGGGTATTTACCGCTGTTTACCCCAAATTAAAGGTTACCATACTTGGTACTTGGGGGCCTTACGCGTTGAGCTGAGGCTAGCATTGGTAGCAATCTTGAACCTGCGAATGGATGGGGCTATGGTCCTAATAGGGCTTCTATGTTCGTCTTTCGTGAGCATAAATCGTGCTACGAACAGGCGGTTTCCATTTGATCCTTTAGGCAATTTGCTGGTGGAAGGGGTCAGGGTTGGAAATTTGCTCACGACTCGGTGGCTTGGTAACGATTGGAAATGGAAAGTCATGTTTCCTACATTTTCTGTTTATGATGATTTTTTGTTGAAAACCCCTGGAAACTCAAAATGCTTACAATAAATTGCATATTTGGTCCATCCATCTTGCCAAGAATTCTTATTTGTAACATTTCCCGCGGTGGTGCTCTTGTTCTATTTACTACCCAAATTATTCCAATCATTAGCACTTCTGGGGTTCATTGGGGTTCAGCCTAGGGTGAAGATATTTGGTGACAAATACTGATGGGGGCACGAAACATCAGATAATTCCAGGGAATAAAGTTGATCCAGGTATCAAATACCATGGGATTGTTTTCAACACCTTTTTGTTCCCAACACGACCACTCTTGATCCATGTGGGGCCTAGCTTACTATCTATGATTCAACCATCCCGAGGACTTGTTTATTGATTTGGGTAATCCAAGCTATGGGTGCGGCCTTCGTACTGGAGCAACCACGGAGCTCTATGTTGTTGTGGCATCCAAGAATCAGAGAAGTGATGAGGAGTTTACCCAAGGCATGCTATCTTGTTGTTCACTTTGTATTATTGTGTGCTGTTTGATAATTTCAACAATTACAACCAAATCCTCTCAATTAAGCCCAAATTTTTCAAATCCGTTGCCAGCAGCTTCCCACTCCCAGCAGCTCCTTCTGCCACACAATCCTTGGCAGACTTACTTGGTCTACTGGTGGATGCAACATTTTGGAGGATTGACAGCGAAAAGACACCTTGGGATCTCTAATGCTGAGACAGTTGGTGACTTTGATTTTGGGAAGATATGCAAATCTACTCGGAAGAAGTTGGCAAATTCTTCTGCTAAGTCTTCTGTCACCTACCGCTCCAAATCTGGAAAGAAGGCTTTCAGTGGATCGAAGTTTTTGAAATCCACCGGGTGGGGTGCTGAGTTCAAAAGAATGATATTCATTTTTCAAAGTCTGAACCTAGCATGTTCTTGGGTCTCCCCACCCTGATGACACCATGTCGCTCAGGACGTATCCACCTCGCTTCGGAAAGCACGTTCGACGACTGTACCCTAGATTCATCAAGGAACGTGAAGTACAGTGGGATTTGTCTGAACAGGTCTTGAATCAAGACATAGAATCTTTCTTTGGTTCCCTTGAATGGGGTGACCTTTGGCATGATGCTGAAATGACTAATGTTCTGGCCTACTTACGTGGCTCTCGCCATTTGCATTTAGGTCATTGGAGGCCGTATTTTCCTGATGAGCTTTGATTTACAAATCATGGCTCCAGTGAACAAATTTGTTTACTGAAATGCAATTAACATTCAATTTTGAAATGAAATTCGATTCCTTTCAAGCCTTAGTTTCACACAGGCTTGCCAGTTGCAACGTAGCTATAGGTCCAGGTGTGATTTTAGATCGCCCCTTGATCCAAGATAGAAAAAAGGGTCTGAGCTAGGGTTATCTGATCATTTCTCAACATTACATATGTATTTGAATCCCCCTACCAGCTGGATGCCCACTATTTCTGAACATTGCATATTTGGAATCTGTTCAACATGTTTGAAATGATACAAAAGTCAAAGCTCTCACATTGTGACAGGTGATGCCAACATCAGAATTGCAACGTTCAAGCCGTACCCCAAAGTACGTAAAAAGTACGTACAAAGTACGTACAAAGTACGTATTTTGTACGTACCCCAAAGTGTACCCCGTACCAGGGGCGTAAAAATCCGTAAAAGGGGCGTACTTTTCCGTACCAAAACCCGTACAAAGTACGTATTTCCGGGGTTTTTTGGCATTGTCCATTTCCAATGGTTTTTGGAGAAAATATCAGCATTAAGGAACCCAAACTTGAAGATATTGTTTCGCTTTAGGTTCATCAGGATGTATGCTGACCCACATTGATCCCAGAACCACCAACTTCGATCAGAGCCTTTGCTCAAAGAGTGCTGCATAGGGCCTGTGTGGCTGTGCATGGGACCAATGGGTCGTTCTGGGAAGACAAAGATGCCATCTAAGATCCACAGTTGTTCGGAACTCCAAGAGGGTTCAAAACAGCTGATGGAAATAAAGAAAGAAGCTGAACAACAAGATGAACTTCAAAAGAAGATCAAGGATGGGGGTGATGCAATTATTTGCAATTTCACTGTTTGCAGATTAACACATTTAACTGTTTTGATCCCTGAGGGTTTGGCCCAGTGACATTGTTGTCCAATGGAAGGCTTACGAACGGCAAATTGAGCTACTGAAGTCCCAAGACAACAGCCGAGCATCTTCAAGCAATTTGGCCCCTTGACTTTTCTGATGAAAATAATTCACCTAACATGTTATAGTTGAAATTGTTGTTTTGGATTCGGGTTGGTAAGCTAACCCCAAGTAGTGAGTTCCAACCAAGGCTCCTGAAGTGACTACCGCTGAAGATGACACTCAACCTGTTTCTTGGGTTTCTGCATTCAAACTTCAAACATTCTGCATTATGAATTCCAGTCAGGGGTTCTTTGCTTAGAAAATGTGGTGGGATGAGCACATGTTGTATATGCCATCACTGTCTCCAACATTTATCACATATTATAAAACCCAAGGCTACCCCAGAAGAAATCGAAGAGATGAAGAAGCGATCCAGCAAAACCCAGAAACCCACGGCAGCAAAGGCAGCACCAAAAGCAAAGAGCAACCCAGTGCCCAAGCAAGCAACCAGCAATCGCAGGAAGAACCAGCGCCCCGCCAAGGCAGTTGAAGAGGAAACAGCAGAAACAGAGACTCCAGTCAAGTCCCCACCGTTGAAGAAAGGCTCAAACCCAAAGGAACAGCAGGTTCCAGTTCGTCCCCGACGCCTTTCTTTCAAGAGTCCTGACCCTGATTCCGCAAGACAACTCCAGTCCCTTCAAGAGGATACTTGAACAAACATTTATATTACTTATCATGTTACCATGTTCTGTACATTGCTTCAGATGTAGATGCATATCCTCAAGTTCAATCATGGAAAGTAGATGTTATATTCCAAAACTATTATACACAAGGTTTCCGACCCCCTACTCTACTTGCAGGACAACGCGAAGTTGAGGGACGAGATGAAGGCGATGCAAGATGCTTTGAAAAACAAGCTTGGTGTTTCTCAGGGTAGTGGCAACAAGCCGAACCCCAAAGTCAAGGCCAAGTCCAAAGTGGCTCCCAAACACCGTGCCTCCAAAGGTACCACTGAGGATGACGGAGATGCTTCAGAGCCTCAGCCCCGTAATGACGATGATGCAATGGATGGTTCCGATGATGATAGCAGTGATGACAATGATGAGGGCATGTCAGAAGCAGCAAAAAAACAACGCTTACGCCGTTTGTGCGAGCGAAAGGGTCAAGGCAAGCTAAAGGTCCCGGAAAAGATACACGAAATGTGGCGACAGGGGGGGCATACTCGTGACGAATTGTGTGCCATGTTGGAGGAAGCAAACTATGACAAGGACTGCATAAATTCAAATTTATTGATGTAGTGCATGTGCTCAAAACATACGACACTTTTGGTCACCTAGTTCTGAATCCTTTGTTTCCAGGATGCCTTCATTTCAAAGGTGATGCGAAGCAAAGAAACCATTACTAGGAAGTCGGCAACCAAAAAGCGGGGATGGTATACCATGGAGATGATGCGCACAAAGTTGGGTTGGAGCAAGCCCCTTGCCCAAACAATGTTCAACCAAAGTGTCGTGTCATGTCAATTTGTCTTGAACATATTTAGGGGCACCCATTGGTATACATGCTGAGGTCGTACATTGCCGGAGTCGTGAAGTTTTGTGAGAAGAAGGGCAATGCTGAGAAACTCACCAAGTGACTAGGCTCCTACCCAACTAGTCAACCAGAGAAAAACCAGTTTCCTGATGGTCCCTTTTGGCTTCCTACTTTCTTTCATCGGGGGATTTGGCCCCATCCCAGGAAAGACAAGTACAACCGGAAGCTGAAGAAGTATTACGTCGACGTCGAAGAGGAAGATGAGGACCAGGAAGCGGAGGAAGAACGGGAAAAAGAAGAACATACCATGGATGTGTGGGTCTAAGATTTATAGCCTATATGGTTTGTAGGTATGAAATGGTATGAAACTCATGCCTTACCCCTTCTACCTGTGTTCCATCCCCAGGGTTCCACCAGTTTGCCACCCCTGTTGAGCCAAGGCTGGGCGCAAGGCAAGCTTCAAGCCATCGAGCAGCAAGATGCTGAAGGAACGCCCTGCTTCTCCTGAGGCAAGCGAGTCAGAGGATTCTGACTCCTCCCAGGCGAAAAACCGAGGTGGCAATGGAGCTAAGGATGCCTTTGGCCCAAGATTTCACAATGTGTTATATAATAATGGGGTTTAAAATCTTATATGGTTTAGAAATACACTATTATAGGGGTATCAACATTTCCCATCTCCAAGTGATTCTTTAGGAATTTCTTTAGTGGTGGGGAACCTCAAACCTCCAGGAGTACATCAACTTGAAAAAAATTGGAGATTCCCTTCTGACTCGCTCGGGCAAGATCACTGACTTGATCGGGCAGATAGAGGGTGAGCTTGGGAACCTTGATGAGGGCAGCCCCGATATCAACCGTGCCAAGAAGTACAATTCTTAGTCTCAATTATTTTGGAAGACCAAAACCATATTCCTAAACTATCAAAGTGGAAATGATCGTCAAGAGTCAATAATACATTGTTGTTCCTCATGGGTGTGTTTTTACTCAGGTCAGTACAGGCATTGGAAGCGGCCATCATCACGTTGGAGGGCGAGTACGAATCGATTGAAGCCCTTAAAGTTGAAGTTTCCCCTTTGCAAAAGGCAAAGGATAGGAATGCTGAGCCAATCAAAACGTCAGAAACTCATATCCCAGACTTTGCTGATTCAAATGATTTCTGAATTGATTTCAAAATCACACTAGACAACTTGGAGGCCTATAGATGGTTCTTATACAATGGATCTATTTATCGAACATGTTGGGATATCTAGCTAGCTCCAACCCCCATAGCCCAGGATGTTGCAACGGGTGGACACCCAGCTCAAGAAGCGCACTGTCACGTGCCTGATCTCGGATAAATCGATGCCCATTCCATTCCTCCTTGCAGGTGTGGTCTGTGTACACCAACCCTCATCTGGTTCCGGTATACTAGGGAAAAACCATTTAGCTTAGGTGCTGCAAAGTGACTACGGCTGAAACCAGTGCCCGGATACTTGACTGATCAACTAAACAAAGTTTAGAGTTTCAGAACTCATTTTTTCCAGAATCCACTTGAAATTTTACCCATGTGTCTCATGTATACCTAGAATTTACTTGTACCACTGTCAATGCCCGTCTGACTCAGGAACATCCTGAAGAAGTTGAAGGCTAGCAGCGCTTAGTCTTTTTCTGAGTGTGAAATTGGCCATTCATATCCGCTGGTGCCCAACACTGTAACAAACTGTATCAAAAAGATTCAAACAAAACGATATAGTCCCTAAATGTCCTAAGTGGGCTGACTAAAGATAGACCTTTGATTTGGGATTGGGACTTTTGAGGCGGCCATGGCCATTTGGATTTGAAATCCAGTAGGTCTAAGATCAATGGAGGCATTTGATCAAGTGTGAAACCACTTGATGGGTGAACATGTGCAAAGCACGTGCTTGGGGAATCGTTAGGTCTTGAAAGAACCCAGATTGCAGCTGGAAAAAAACATATCACTTCCAGTTGCCTCCATTCGCCCTTTCCTATATTGGACAGGGCAGTTTTAGCGTTCTTACTCCACACCCTGCCAGGTACTTCGGATGAAGCCGATGACAGGAAGTCTTTGTCACACTTTGCCCACATGATAGCCCGTGGGGTGTGGATCCCAAGTTGACGCTGGGTGGATGCATGGCCTGCATTTGGCCTACACAGAATTCATCATGTTGGCATGGATCATTCTCAAAAAACTGCATGGTATGAACATTTGGCTGAAGCAACAGTTCCAAACGGTTTCAAAAAAAACAAATGCATTTCAACAATGCAATGCTGTTGAACAATGACATAATTACTCAACATTAAAAACTAGTATTGAACTATGTTGAATTCCTGAGTTTTTTTTTACCAATGGTGAAGCGCATGGTATCCGATGAGCATGGCTTCGAACAGTCGAAATCCTCCAAGTGACTTGGGACATTTTGATTTTGATTATTCCTACCACAAACCCCCAACAAATACAGGTTCGTTTATAACTAACTTATTTGTTGGCCTATGCATCCCAAGAACCAAGGCTATTGACCCAAGATGATACAACTGTGACCCACTTGGATGATAGCACTGAGATGGACTTTTATGGGGATTATTTTTTCAGAGATCATCATGCCCACAGCTGGTCTCCTCCACCGAAGTCGCCATCGAAGCCAAGGGCAGTGACTTAGTCGCCAGGTCACAATTTTTTCAGCATAATGGGTGTAGGGAAAATCCAAACATATATTACATTTTTTTAATAATGGATTCCTATACTGGCCTGTGTTTAACATAGTCAAATAGTCAAGTGCTATTTGTGGAATTTTTGTACCAATTCAATAGTCAAATCCTTTTACCATCAAGAGAAGCAATCCACATAGTCAAATCACTCTATCAGAATAGTAGATCGGATCTTCTGGTCCAGTCAAATCATTCCTTCGATTTGTTCAATTAGAGCAATGATAGCAAATAATGCGTTTTGGAATTCCAAGGGCCAATCAAATGGTCAAATGGCGACAGATGGCGACAGATCCAATGTTCGAGTTCTTTGCATCGTAGACGTTTAGAATAACAAACATGATCAAACATGACTGCCTTAAAGATGGCTAAACATCAGCATATGACAGCATATGCAAGCCAAGGGCACACAAGATATATATCAACCCCCCCTTCATTCATGCATTCATTCAAGACATACCACTACTATCCTGTTAAAAATGTTGATGCGAAAAGCTGGTTGAGCCCCAGTTTGACAATTCGCATTTATTGCAGTCAACTTTGATGCAAAGTGTTGTTTTTTTTCCAAGATGTCCATTTCTCTTAAAGGGTTTGATTTATGCTGAAGATCTTTGCAAGACATGATTAATGAGTAGATTGACGTTAGATGGACGTTTGGGTAGTCTGATGAATTGTATGTTGTGTTTGCGGTTTGACATTGAGCATGTATCTGTATCTCTATATGTATTTATAACTACATACAAACATCCATTCAGGGTCGGCCTACAAGGATGATATGGTGCACATAACAGGTTCATTGATTTCGCAATATTTGTTTTCTTAAATTTGCAGGGGATGTATACAGCAAAATCTACTGTTCAGCAACTCACAGCGACCTAATGATTATCCATGATTATCGTTTTGCAGTTGAACATCATTGCAAATATCATTGCGCAGGCCAAGCAATTCTCGGCACAACATTGTCTCTTTATGAGCCCTCAGATCAGCCACAAATAGTGAAAAAACAAATGTCAATCGAAGAGGTAGATTTTTTCAGAAACTGAAATAGGACACATGCTTAGAGGATTTGAACGCACATCACAAGTACCAATGACATGGGGCCCTTCCTGCAAGCAAAGCGGCCATTCAGAATCAAGAGCGAGAGAGAGAGAGAGAGATAGAGAGAGACAGATATGCAGGGCAGAAAAAAGTAGCCTTAAACAAATGCAGCAGTTTTTTGACAGTTAATCCCAAGTCAAAATTGAGGGAACCGTCATTGCACTGGTCAAATTCTCTTATAAAACAACCTGTTGATATTGATGTTTACTATGATACCAAAACAAAGAATAGGACGCAAACCAAAAAAATATTTTGTAGAGATGGATCCTGCAGCATATGGCATAGCATTGCTCCCAAGTAGTCAGTAGTCATTCAGGAGAAAAGACAACATGACACAGTGAGAATGTCCCGGCATCAAAATACTTGTCCCCATGAATCACATACAGGAACCGAGACAGGTTAATTTGAAGAAAAAAGTGAAGCTCCTGCTGAGGAAAAATCACTTTAGCAAGCATAGAGTCTGTTGTTCTCCCCTGGCAAAGGTCCAGAACACCCACAATGTTGACCATATCTTAAAAGACCCTGGCAAAATAGTTGATTAGTCCAACTTGTTAGTTGTCATGCATCACAAATTATTGTGAACTATGAGTACTGAATACCAAGATGTTTGCTTTCCATGCCAGCCATTGTTAAGCAGCAGCATTAGATACCCAAATGAATGTCGGATGTTCCAACATCCAAAATCTTGCCTTTCAATGTTTTTGATCCTTAGCCTGCGTTGGTTTGCGAAGTGTTTGTCTGTGTGTTCCTTTATGGGCCTGGCGATGGCCTTGCCCTTGGTGTTCTTGGTCAGACGGGCATGACTTGACACTCTAACAAAACAAGGAATGAACTCACATAATAAAAATTCAACATATTGGCTTGAGGCAAATGACCTTTCAATACAAATTATGGGACGCCTTTCAACCTGTATAACATGATCTGTGAAAAAAAAAATCCGACTAGGCTGGCAAAGCCTGGGAGCCCTCCCCACCTTCAGGATGCGATACGTAGAGGCTGGCAAAGGTTGATAGTGCTGTCACTGTCTGAAGCAAACATTCCAAAAAATCCAAAATTCCAAAAATTAGATTGAGCTGCATTTAAGGTAATCACCGTTGGAAGGATAGGGACAAATTGTCCCTATCCTTCCAACACTCAATAGCGCTACCGACCGTTGCCAGCCTACGCATGACTTTCTTAAATGCAGGTTCCAAAAATTCCGACACGCTTAAAAAGGTCCAAAATCCATGGCCCATACTACGGTGAGGATAGGCTGGCAACACTCAATAGCGCTACCGACCGTTGGAAGGATAGGGACAATTTGTCCCTATCCTTCCAACACTCACTATCTTAAACGCAGCTCAATCTTAATTTTTGGAACTTTGGATTTTTTGGAATGTTTGCTTAAGCCAGTGACAGCACTATCAACCTTTGCCAGTCTCTACTTTTTGGATTGTTTCGGCATTATGGCAAAAGTCAATAGCGCTGCCGACTTTTGCTAGCCTCTACTTGTGCATTTTTTGGATTTTTGCAAAGGTCATTAGTGCTACAATTTTTCCAGCCTCTACTTCTTGCAATATTTTAGGATTCTGGCAATGATCAATTTGTCAATGGTGCAATGGTGCTACAGACCTTTGCCAGCCTATTCTTAAGTGTCTTCGCAATGAATTCTTGAAACTCACAGCAACTGGGAAGGGTCCAAAGCGCTCCCGACCTTTGACACTGTCAGGACAAAGAGAAAACAGCTTACCCCATGCTGGGAAAGGTTATTCTCTCAAGAGTAGTTTTTTTTGTTTTCTTCAGAAACTGAGGCTCCATGTTGTTACATATGCCATTTGAAGTTGAAAGACGCGTTTGTTGTCATGTTGATTTCTTCCTTTTTCACGTGCAGTACCATTCCACTCCCTTCCGAATACGAAGGCTAAGGGCAAGCCCACTGACCCATGTGATGCACGCGTGCGCACGAGAGAGAGAGAGATATATATAAATAATATACATATATATAGAATATGCGCATATAATCAATATACATATGTATTGGAATCCGTTGGGGTATTTGCCGTTTTCGCTTTACGATGGCACCCATGGAAAATGTCAGTGAACCTTGGTGCTGTCACAATAATTTGTGATGCCAACCGGAGACATCCCCCATGTATGCAATTTTTGGTATGGGTTGACCAAAATCTAGACCGCTTCCAACCTTGGCTAAGGACGGGATTTATTACAAGTCGTGCTGTGATCTTGAGAATTTTCTGAAAACACGAATGTTGTAGGCAGCAAACGGGCTGAAACTCCCGAACGCTGCATTTTAAGTTTCATAGATATATTGTAATATTTATATAGTTGTTTGAAACCTTCCTCAAACGCTCCAGAACGCTCCCGGCTCCTCTAAAGCAACCTTTTTCTTTAAAGACCCAAAGCATTCTCGAGCGATCCTTACTGACTTTTGTGGACCCTCCTTAAACAGCCCGAAGCATTGCCAAGTGCTCAAAAACATATGTTTCTAAAGGATTCAGCCTTCAAAATTTGAAGGCTACACTAGCATGGACGAAATAAAATAGAAAACACAATTCACTGATGTTTATAAACATCTGTCTTGAGCGAAATCGCGCTATCAAAGGCAGCATAGACAAAAACAACAAAAAGCATATCTAAAACAATCAGGAACATCTGGGATCTTCTCCTGTTTCTATTTCAACCCTGATCTGAACAGAAACAAACAAACTTGTGGTTAAGATTTCAATAGAGCCTATGCCCTGTCGAATGTGTTCAGCCCCTACTTCCTCAACAGAATTTGACGGAATAAGAACCCTCAACGCTTCCTGCACCTACAGAAGGTGGCCTAGCCTTCAAATATCACCTGCAGTTTGTCGCTCGCCAGAAGTGAAAATCGTATATAAATGTTGACGATGCGTGTTTGTGTTTGTTCTGTTATGGTGCAACTTCAGTCAACAGTGCTGATCTAATTGTTATCATTTCCTTTGTAACCTTGAAGTATTTCCTTTGCCTTTATGAAAGGCTTGCAGCGCCATACCCTCTGGAATTGTTTTGCCACTGACGCAGTATCTTGTGCTTTACAGCCACTTTATCCTGCATATTTGATGTCGTTGTTGAAATTTAGGCCGATTGAACTTATTGGTCGTCCCGATGACTGGTAAGTTAAGTAGTACTTTAAATTTTACAGACCAGGACCAGGACATGTACAATATATAGTTCTTTTTTCTTTAGTCGACTGTGTGCGTTGTGTTTGCATACATATCATATGTACTTGTACTGCATGTTTCACGTATGTTGGGTCCATTCTTATAAGGATGCGTCAATGCCCACTCATTTATGGTTCCCACTGCCCACTGACTCATCTACCCATTTTGATATGGCTCACAATTATAAATAAAAGAAACCATTTCCCAAAAATTACAGTGATTATTTGACTTTCTTAAATGCACCCCAGTATATACGTTTATTTTTGCGGGTACTGGTACATTGTGTTTTTTTTTGGGGATGGCATCCAAGGAAGAGACCCCTGTCCCCACGAAGAAGCTGATTACACAGTATGGGTTGGACTTCAATGCATCCACTTTTGACTGGAACACCGTAAAATCGGAGAACCTGCTGTACAAATGTTTGGATTCAAACAGATGCAACCCTACTAGTGGTGCAATTTTGGCACATGCCAAAGAACAGGTTGACAACATGCAACGTCATGTTGGAGTTGGCTTATGCATTTTCAAAATCGGTGTCACAGCCAATCCACTGTTGCGCTTTGCTTCTTACTTAGATTTGGGCTACACAACTATGTGGCTCATCAATGTATCCCCCAGTTTGGGTTTAACGGTGATGTTGGAAGCGGCTTTGATTAGTGAATATGGATATTCTTCGGGGTGCAAAAACAAACCCAATTCTGGAGGCGAGGGGGCTTTCAACAGGTCTAAACCTTTGAAGCCGCCATTTTTTGTTTATGTTGTGGCTGGCCGGGCTGATCAGCCGCGCTGGGTTGGATAGCAACCATTGTGTTTCAACACATTCGATGTGTTCAATTCGCATGGGCATAGCGCTGGCAAGGTTGGGAAAAATCAGAGTTGCCACTACATTCATGTGGGCAAAGCTGTCTATTTTCCAACTCACTTACTGCTCCACTTGTTGTGTCCTTAGCTACCTTGAGTCCTCTGAGCACTGGGTTGTTGGCGCTGAGGCCGCTTGCTCCCACGTGGTCGAGTTTGACAAGGAGCAGGTAGAACGGAACCCCAATGTTTGTGGAGTCTTCAAAAAGTTTGCAGCAGTCAACCCTTCAGATGCGGAGAAGGGGTGTCATGCCTTGTTTGCAAAATATGGCTACACATGCCCAATCCACGTTGAGCAGGTCAAGTTGTCTGAGCTACGGGCACTTTCAAAGTTTCCCTTTTTGAAACTTAGCTCGTGGGCCCAATGGTTGCTGGACACCGGCCGTATTTGGAGGCTGTTCTGTGGTTGCAAATCTTTGTCGACCATGAAGGTAGTTTTGACGGAGTTTTGGGCCCGCTACAGGGCACTTTATCCTCAACATGAAGTGTTCGGTCTTGAGGGATTAGACCTGTCAGTCACTATTCCCTACTACAGTCACCAAGATGAAGGAAGGGGCTACAAGCACCAGGCAATCTGGGTGCTTTCTGTTCACGGCTGCCTTGGCAGGGGGACCCATGAGTACATTAGAAGAGGCAAGCATCAGGTTGACGTTCAGAACATGGAGTTCGGGTGCAACTTCATAGGCAATACATGGTCCACCCAATTTTTGCTATGTACCATGAGCAAGTCGGTGACCCACAAGTGCCCAGGAGCCATGAACCGAATCGTGGAGCTCTTCGCGGAGGATTGTGCGAAGCTGGCCAGGGAAGGGTTGTGTAGCAAAGATGGGACTATTAGAATCCACATGGTGCACCTCTCCACAAAGGGTGACCTACCAGCCCTTGCAAAGTTGGGAAGTTTGACCCGGACCTTCTCTCATGTTCCAAGGGCTGCCAGCAGTAGGAAAGCCTCAGGAGGGATATGCCACTTGTGTCTTGCAGGTCAGGAGGCAAATGCTGCAGGACAACAGGCATTTCCGTATGAGGATTTTTCCGTTTCCCCAAGTTGGTTGGGTACCGTCGAAACTGTGGCCCCGTGGGCACAACGGCCCTCAGTGTTGAGAGGTGCATTGGTTGACCCGAGGAAGACAGCCCATTTTTTCTCATGTGACTTCTGGCACAATGTGCATTTAGGATGTGGGAAGCATTGGGTGGCCAACTCCTTTGTGTCGGCAATTGAGAGGCTGCAGTTTTGGCCAGGGCAATCTGTGGAGTCAAAGTTTGAGCTGTTGACCACAGAGTTCAAGTCGTTTTGCCGCCAGAACCACTTGTCGCCACATATGGATGAAATTTCACGGGCCACGATGGGATTCCCCCAAGGTAGTGCTTGTCCACTTGGACAATGGTCCAAAGGAGTCGTCACCACCCATTTCATGAAGTTTTTGGAATGGTTTTGCGACAAGCACAAAGAGGAGATCAAATATGATGAGGTCATGACAACCATTGTTTTTCATTACTCCTTGGCATATTTTTCTATTTCATGTTCATGGCTAGTAGGGTATGACCCCATCCTTTTTGTCATTGCCCCTGTCATTTGTTCAACACCGAGGCTTGGGGCACGAAGTCAATGAATCGCGTGATGAGCTACATGTATTCAGCCGGTTTCTGGCTGCCTCGGGACCGTGCCATAAAGCTGGGTCAATTGATCCAAGTCTTTGTGCATTGCTATTCCCAATGTGCAGTCATGGCACACCGTGCCAACAAGAACCGATGGTCTTTGGTTCCCAAACTTCATTTCATCCACCATGATGCTTTGCGTTTGATGTTTCCACCAGTTGGGGTGCATTGGCTGTTGTCCCCATTAGGGACTTCAGTTCAGATGCAGGAAGATTTCGTGGGCAGGCCCAGCCGCTTAAGCAGGCGTGTGGCGGTGCCCCAAATGCATAGGCGCGTTTTAGACCGCAGTTTAATTAGTGCATATCGGGAGATTGAGGCAGCAGATAGGGATGAGCGAGGGCTCATGTGAACCTAGGCTTGGATTAGGCCACAACTTAAACCACCAACTACATATCACTACATATCACTACATATCATTACATCACTATCATTACTTATCAGGGATTTCCTGCTGTGATGGCCCTCCGCCTCACTGTGCTGAGCTGCTAAGCCCGGCACAACAGCTCAAGGATCTCAGGCTCGGGAGAAAACATGGGCCGGATAGCTGAGGAGGCACAGGCATGCCAGAGCACACCCCTCAAATGGTTGGGTTACTGAGTGTTGATGGTATAATGGGGATGATTATCTTAATCTGTGATTTAATCTATACACTATCTAATTATGATCTTGTAAATGGGGATATCCCTCAAAACTGAAAGGGGCGTACTTTTGGATCAGGGGCGTACTTTTAAATCAGGGGCGTACTTATATAGAAGTATGTACCTGACCTGTTTTGGTAGCCTTCCCAGGTCCCAGGTATATACATATACATATATATTTATAATGAAACAAGATGGACATAAAATTAAGACATATATACATATATTATACATCATATATCATATATATATATATAGAGTACAAAATTAAACCCAGGGACTCTGATGGATTTCAGGGGTAAGCCATTTTTGGGTTTCGCGTTGGATGTATGATGTATCCATCCCACTTGGACACCCAGCAGTTGTGAGCAGGTAAGACTTGAGATTGTGCACATCCCACTTGGCGCCAGTTCGTTTGTAGGCAGCCTTGCCACTGTGTTTTTGAACCTCGTGGCAGCTGCAGCTGACATGCTGACAATTCATGATGAAGTCTGCGGATGATCGGAATAGAAGTCCAGCTGCTGGGGATTCAATGAAACACCCCACTGCTTAGGTGAGGAGGGAAGTGCCATGCATTCTGGCTACTTGAAACAGTCAACCTGGGGAAACACTGCGTAAAGCCAGCATGCCAACAAGCCAACAAGCAATCAACTACAGCAGAGTCAAAATTGATTCCTTGGGCAGTAGGGCAACCTCATGCTCTAAGTATAAGCAACAAATATGGTTCAAACCTATTCCAGAACAGGGTACAGTAGGAAACCAAACAAAACATGTTGTCACTCCCACAAATATTGGACAGTTGTGGAATGAATACATCTCTTTCGCCATATTCATTCATATCACTTCATATCACTTCATATCATTTCATATCATTTCATACCATTTCATATCCATCATTCCATCCATTCCTTGACTTTCCAATAACTTCGAATGTTCTCCGCAAAAAAAACATCGTCACCAACTTCGCCCCAGCGGCTGCGACGTTGGTGAGGTGAGAGCCCAAGTCGTTGAGATCGTTTTTGTCACTAGAATATCTGGTCATCGAAAATCGGCAGAAGCCACCACGGTGCATGTACACCTCACTGGACCGACAAAGCTGAAGCAAAATACCCTCTGGTAAACTAACATAGCTATGGAAAATCACATTTTTTTAATGGGAACAATCAACTATTTCTATGGCCATTTTCAATAGCTATGTGGCTGTTTACCAGAGGGTATGTGAAGAGTGGCGTCTGACGTGTTCTGAAAAAAGTTGCTATTTTTCAGAAATTGATGACCATGTGGGGACCAGAACTTCTTGCAAAACTCTTCTGTTTCAGGAGTCCTGACATCCTCGAAGGCCCCCTCAGGTCACAACCGTTAGTGGATGATAGCTGGTGACGCAAACATACAAGCGCATGTCCTCGGAGCTTCAAACGTCAACCACCATCTCGAAATAGGATGCCACCAAAACCCAATGGCCTATTATAATATAATATATATATATAGTCACCATTAATCACCATTATATAAAATGATATAGCATGGTATAGCCATATACAGCCCATTTTCAGACACACTCATATGGTTCGAGGGGAAAAAGACTGACTTACTATACTGTATTATACTGTATTTATACAGGACACGAGCTGTGGATGAGGTGCACCATCCAAGTATGCTGAAAACTTGGTGGTTCAACCCATTCCGAACAACATCTTCGTCGATCCGGGATCATCCCGAAAATGGACCACAGGCAACGAGTGATTCTTGGTCAAAATTGACGCTTGGTCAAAATCGTTGAGTCACCACTACCAGCTGGTCATAGCTGGTCCCACTGAGCTCGATGCAAATTTCTTGCCACCAATCAAGAGAGGCGATTCAACGTATTTCCTCAGTCATCCAGAATTTTGTGCCCCGAAGCAATCCCTGTGAGGTTTGTCCATGCGCACATGGTCTAAGGGGAGAAAAAATGGGGATGATCCATGTCTCGAGTCTCATCATTTTGCTCGATCCCTTTCACCCAGTATGCCCTCTGGATCCCTTTCGGAATTCAACTTGGCAATGGAATTTCTCCCAACATTTTACATATGCTCCCATTCAGAACCCAATTCTACGTTTTCCCATCTATTTGGGTTTGTCTGAGAATGGGTTACCCAAAAATCCCATGGTTTAGCGTTACCAGTCACAGCCAAATATCACATAAAGTTGCGTATACATGCTTATACATATCCCACTACATCCCTGAATAATTGTCTTGGTCAAATCATGTTAAATCATGTTAAATCCAAATATTCTTGGTTAAATCATCATCAAATTCCATTATATCCCATTAAATCACTATTAAATCCCATTATATCCCATGACATGTCAAATCCCAATGAAAACAACTGATCTCGGAGATTTTCCAGCGAGAAGCTGTGCGATGTATGCTTCGACACCAGCCTCTTCGTCCTAGCGGCGTAGCGGGTCCCTGGGTGAGTTGGTTTATGACTAGCGTAACTGAGGTGTTAATGGTAGTTAAATATATATATATAATATATATATAATATATATATATATACACCCTCTGGTAAACTAACATAGCTATGGAAAATGGCCCATTTATAGATGGTTTACCTATCAAAAACTGTGATATTCTATAGCTATGTTAAATTAACAGATGGTATATATATATATAACATGTTATAACCATAGTTTACTATGGGGTTATAAAATGTTATGAACTACAACTGGGCGGCACCGCTAGATTAGGCAAAGTTGCTTTACAATTCCAATCACTAGGGTTTATGGTTGATTTCTCCTTAGTTCGTAAGTGGCTTACAACCCCAGTTGCAAGTAGGGTAAGTAGGGTTAGTCCTGTTCCTACTTACTGTACTAAGTAGGTTGAACCAACCATATAAAATACCTCAGAAGTCCATGGTTTTGCACACGCCCTATTCATTTTGACGGGGGCCATTCATGGGGGGTATTCAATATATTCAATATGATCGGGGGATGAGATAAGTTCATTGGGATATATTATTATATATTGGGATAAGAATCTAAAAATTAGGCTGTTCACTGGGATATTCATTTTTGTTGGGATACTTACCTGGACAACATGTTTGGGAAGTTACTGGATTTGAAAAAAAACGATGGTTTCCTCAGCAAATGATCTGCAAATGCTGGATACGTCCATCATCTTCCACACTTTCACCGGCCAATGGCGCAGGAGGTCACATCAAACCATTGCTTACATGTGCGGGCCGCTCTCCCACCCTTGATGTTTCATATCTATGTTAGTATACTGGAGGCGTCTGGAGGCTATATATTGTTTTGCAATATCTTTGATTGGGTTTTGCTCAGAAGTAGGATCCCCATTACATTTTTTGGGTTATATAATCATTTAAGGCCATACGAATCATGTGGTTTTCTATGCATAGTTTTGTTTTGGACAAACAATGACCCGCTAGTTTGGCCATTGCTGATACCCCATCCATGCAGGCTTGCCTTTCTTTGCCTACATTTCATGGGAATTAACGCAGGTGTGAACATGATTAGACATCCCATGGATGATCTAAGAATATCTCAGATATCTGGAAAACACACAGAAAACCAATCACCCACCATTTTCCGGATCAATCACCTACTTTGCGATTTCCCAAAAAGAAAGATGCTTTGCGATGATCAATTGCGGTCCAATCTCGGAGGGAATCCAACAAATTGATGGCAGGACGGGGCCCCAAACGTTGTGAGTTGGTAACGCCCAGTGACTATAATAGTATATAATAGTTATATCATGTTATACCCTCCATGAAGCTGAGTTAACCAGGTTTTGTGCGTCAAATACTGTGAACCTTTGCGAAATCCTGCACCAGTTGCTAGATGGTAGAACTCGCATTTTCATCCCATCAAATAAACATTGGATCATGGAACCCCAATAGTTACCAACTCTATGTCCATTGGGTCAATGACCTCACACCATTGGTCAGACCTGGGGGTGAAATTCCTGATAGCCTTCTGTTCCAAGGTAAATCCGTGTCCACGGTGTTCAGCCGACCAAAATTTGGTATATGAGTTTATATAAAGATGCTTAACATATTTTTAACCTGCACGCATTTCTATTCATGGCAGGGCTATGTAACATGATATAACCCTCTGGTAATCAAACATGGCAATAGAAGAGCTCCCCATTTATGGATTAGTTTCTCAGTTTCCCATGTGCATACACATGGCATTTTATGGCAGATGTTTCACTGTTTGAATGTTTTGGGTAATGTTTTGGAATGACTTAATATATTTTATTTAACATTATTTAACATGACTCAACCCTTGAAGTTTCCCGCATCGGAAAACTCCTCAGTCTTTGGCTGGGAAGGATTCCAGTCCTGAGACTTCCGCGGGATCAACGTGGATCACCGATCTGTTTCTGGGGAGTGGCATCTGATCAGAACATCATCAAGCTACAGTCGGTATATCAATCATGAGATATCAATCATCATCATGAGATCATGACACTTCATATAATGTCAACCCTGGATTAATAATCCAGAGGTTGTTTAATTGGGGGAGGATACCATTTATGTATCATATTGTGACTATTTGGAGGGTACCACCACAATTGATAAACCATGTTTATTAATCCGGAGTTGACATTATTCATCTTTGTCATAGCAGATTCACGAAGGCGTTCTATCGATTAGTTGCTACGTATTCAATCTTCGATGGCACTTGTGTAGCACGCGTCCGAATACAAATGTTGGTGTTTTATGATGTGTTGCGTTTTCGAATCATGATAGTCATGACGCATGACTGGGTTTGATTCTCAGATCCCAGCACTTCCAGCAGGATTCTAAAATCATCTAAACAATATTGTTTAATTTTGTTTAAATGTACAGAGTCATCGATGTTCATTGATTTTCCAAGCAAACTCCCGCATCTTTCAGCCATTTTTAGCGGACTGCTGCGCCTGACGAGGCTTCCACTGCTGCGTCTGTGCCAATTTGTTGATCAAAAAGATCCCGGAGCCCTGAGAACGGCCGATGGGCTTCATGATCCAGGTAGATCCTGCAGCTGGTCACCAAGGTGTCACATGGATTGATAGGTCAGTGACGGTCAGTTACGGTAAGCAAAAGGTCCCAGGTCGACTCTAGTTGGATGATGGGAAAACATATGGAAAAATGGGGGAACGTCCCAAACATGCGATGGAGATTGACAGCAAATCTTCGAGGGATCCAATCATGTTCTATCTCCACCTCGGATTTTTTGTTGATTTTTTCAGTGAAAAAGGCCATATCTAGTGAACATCAAGAACATCGATTGACACATATTGAAACTATTAGCATCAATATGGTGGGATTGCCTGACTTCACCATGAAACATAATACAACCCGACCTTGTGCCCTTGCAGCACTTGCAATTGGTATCGATAAGCCCCTAACCCAACGAGCATTTCTCAATAAGCCAACAAAAACCAAGCCATGGATACCCATGGGACATCATGGGACATCATGGGACATCACGGGACATCATGGGACATCACGGGACATCATGGGACATCATGGCACCTGTCCACTTCTTGAACTCCTCCACAAACATGCTGTACTCCTGGGGAGAAAGTCACCATCCCTGAGGGCCGCACGAAAAACCAACCGTGGCGTCTCAAAAAATGGAGCCCTATTAATAGATGGTTAATCATGGTTTATCAGAATACCTCAACTTGAAGAGCAATTTGGGATATTTTTGGGGCTACTCTCTCTCTCTATATATATATTATATATATTTATATATATGTGTGTATATATTCGTATACCTCATTTTCAGCCGCTGCGATCCCCGTCCTGTGGCAAGACAAAGGTCACGGGGCAAATATTGTACTTCGAGGCGTCAGCAGGACGACCGTCCTGCGGCGATCAGGTCATTCTGATGTGTGGACCATCAGTATAGATAATCAGTTGCAGTATCTATAAAAGATACATATATAACTTATATAACATACATATATTAAACTTATATAGCTATGACTCTATCACTATAAGATGATAATTTATAATGGTGCTATTATAACATATTATGACTATATAACTATAGTATATGTAGATCATTCATTGCAGCAATATGGTGATGGATCGGATATCTACCAATGTTCATCTTTAAGTGCAAAATCATGCAAAATCTAGCTCCTGTTCGTCCCTGCTGGAATTTGCTCGGGACAACCTTCCATTTTTTGGTGTCCGTCCTTCTCACATTGCCGCCGCATCCTTTTCATGTTCTTTACCAGCAGATCTTTTCGAGTCAGCTCTTGGTGGTTCAGGAAGTGGTTCACATGCTGATGCGGATCCAAATGCATCTTGTCAAAGGCGGAGTGAATCCAATCTTTGTCGCACCTCAACTAAAAGAACCAAAAAAGTGCTCAGCTATTGTCTCTACTGTACAGTCTCTACATGTGAGTTTAACATAATATAGTTTGCTGTAACGTTCTTTTGTGTTGCAGCAATCTTCCCAACATCAACATGGCCGCATTACCACGACCTTCGTTGCTGCCAAGTATCCAAAAGATGTGCCACTCGGTGTCGACATCGGTCTCTTTCCAGCCTCTTGACTTAAGCACATCATAGATGGTATTGTACTCACTGTCCTGGCTCTCAAACGAAGTGGAAATCGTATGGAACAGTGCAGGCATCCAAATGACTTGCCATCGCAGAAAAGTGATGTCGTTGAAACCAGAAATGGGAAAATTTGGAGATGCTGAAGTTTTTTCCAAAACTTTGACGCCGCGGTCCTTGGAATTCCCAGCAGCATCTGTCACTCTGTGCAGCTTAGCACAGCGGAAGCGGATGTTCGCTGCTGGTGGCGGGTCCCGCCTTGGGGAAGCGTTGCGCCTTGAGGCTTCGACCAACTGGGCCCAAAGTTATGACAATTCATCTGGGATATGGTTGGAAAAAAATATTTGGGATCTGTTTTCGGATGGTTTGCGTGTGTCTGAAAAATTGGGGGATACCCAAAAAATATCAAACAAAAACAACGTGTTTGTTGCCAAAGTGATCATTAACCAGTGGATTAGAGGGTACCCAATGTTCATACCCGATGTATTCCGATGTAAAATGTGGAGTCCTAACCCGGAATCGCCTCACTTGGTCAAAACCAGTGGGCTCAACATGCATCACTGGGGTATTTAAATCGACATTTTTGTTATTTTCTGGGAATCCAACGTCGAATACGATACACCACCCAGTACAATATCCAGGTAGCCAGCTTTGAATAGCAGAGGATCTATAATGTATATAGCCCCGTGCTTCGTAGGCAAATCCTATTTGCACGGGGTTTAAATTCCAATTTCGGGTATGAAAAGCAAAAATCACTTATCACCTTAACGTTTCATTTTTGTGAGGGGAATAACCTGTCAGTTCCCACTACATCCCCACGTTTCTTGTGACAAATCCAATGTTTTGCCAGGTCAATCCTCATAATCCCAAAAGATCCCCTATTTTTTATCCGTTGTAATCCAAAAAAAAAAGTATATTTGGATTACAATGAATATAGAATCTATCCTAAAATTTGATTTTATTTGTAAGATCCTATTAATCCCTATGTAATCCATTGTTAATGCCTATTGTGTCCACCTCCAGCATATCAGTCGCGCCCGAGGGACTTGATGAGCTTCCGGAAGTATTCGGACATTTCCTTGGAAAATGTCAACAGTGGTCTGAAGTTCATATTATTTTATATTGTGGATCATCATTTTTTTGTTGGGGCACTTTTGTTGCGATTTCATTTTAACATGCCACTTTTAAGCATAGACCGTGCTACACGTAGTTTTTTTTTTACACAACACTCGTGTATATAATATTTATATATGGTTTAAAAAACGGTGCTAATCGACCCAGATAATCCGGCATAGTTTGACGGTTTTCATATAGTATTCAACCAACCCAAAATGGGGGGGTCAGTATTTTCAAGCTGACTCTACCTGGCACAGTCTCAGAGATGCCTCGATACCAATTTTGTTCAGTGTATCCAAAAGTCATAAAAGTCAGGTGCTTAAAATCTGCGCAAGGGAGCCACTACATCTCATGTTCTCGGAGAGGACTGTAAACATGAGCCTGGCATCAAGGAATGCAGGGACGTTTGATGGTAGAAAAGCGTTCGCATTTTCAGAGGACAAGTTCCTTCGGACACCTACTTTCTACAAGTAAAAAGACCGCACAACACATCCGCACAAATCGTTGTTCTTGGAACTTCTTGCTATGTTTTGCAAGGGCTTCACCCAACTGTTGTACCCTGCCAAAAGTGGTGTGCGTAAAGAAACAACCTAAGTTCAATGGTTACAACAATTTGTTAGTCATCACATGCACTTTTTCCATGAAGATTGCCCTTTGGAGGGTATTGGCCCAATGCTCAGACACATCCATCGCTTTGTTCCCCGCACTTCATCTCAGTCTTCCCGAAACGGCTACCCTTTGGGCACGCCATCACCACCAGGTTGGAAGTTGGACAAACAATAGATCTGAAGAGTTATATGGGCACCCTTCTCATCCAAGATCTCAGACGTGTCCATGAAATTCCGCCGTAGCCATGTACCTGGTCTGTCCAGCGCAAAGTCTACATCAGCCTGGTTTCCACCTCTCACTTTTCCTCTCACACAGGCAACGTTTTCGAAATCTAGGTGCAAAGATGCCTTACCATAAAGCGATCCTTCCTCTCCCTTTGGGAACAGTGAGATCCACGCATTGATGCCCCAGGACAGTGGCAGCTTCTCACTTGTCTGCCGCTCGCCCTTTCGAAAGCCCCTGAAATCGTGGCCAGACAAGTCCCATACGAACGAGATCACGGAACGATCCTGACAACTTTTCTCAAGGCGTTGGCACTCTTCTTCCAGGGACTGGCACTTTTTCTTGAAGTCCCTCGCGCTTTGGATCAAGCCATCTACAACACCATCATTCTTGCAATCCAAAGAAAATGCCAGCAGAAACGCGTCTTGTGCCTCTGCCAAGTCTCTGGACCTTAACAACCTGCCTGCTTTGGCAGCAAGTCGGGCTCCATCCATTTGCAACTTTGGGCCTATCTGCCGGGCCAAAACGAGAAGTTGGTCAGCAGAGACATCGTCCAATTGGCTGTCTCCCAAGGTCAACCTGAGAATCAGGTCTTCCGGGATTTCCTCCTTCTCCACACTGAGTTTCAGGAACAATCGCTCGGCCATGTCTGTGCTGGCACCCTCGTGATCTGAAAGAAGATACTGATGAAGATGCTTCAAGTTTGTTGAGCGGAGCGATTGGTTCCCAGGGTCCATGTTGTATGCTTGTGCCAGCAAGCGGATCTTTCGCTGATCATCTTCCGTGCGAATAGCTACCTCCATCAGAATACAGGCGCACCCTTTGGGCGGCCAAGCTAGGTTTGCTGAAATGCCCAGATCATACTTGAAAAACTCAGTGGCCATGGACATTGCAACATCTTTGTTATGCAGGCATCTGTAAGCCTGATGAAGCAACTGATCTCCAAGCGTTGGGAGGTCCACATCCAGCTTATCAATAAAAGATGCCAGAACCACGGCTGCAGCATTTAGCCAGGAGTCCTGGGGGTCATGTAGCAGTAACAAATTCCAAAGTTCTTTTAGCTCTACATCATCCCCTGCACGTCTCGCAAGCCTACGGGCACACTCCAGATCAAAAGCATCTCTGTGCGGATGCACTGGGGAAAGGTGAAAAACCTGCGTCTCTCGCAATCGGCTGAACATCTCATCTTCAAGTTCTTCAATCACGCGTGCAACTTCTTGTGCGGAAATGCCGCTCAGGAATTCTAGAGTTAGCTTCTCATCCCCGAAATCCAGGAGCAAAACACAAATTTCCAAAATGACCGAGTCCCTGTTCGAACTAAGCAATTTCACGCGAATCAGCAGCAGCGCTGCCAGCTGTTTTCGAGCTGAGGTATCTGGTAGAAGGGGGCGCACAAATAGCTCTGCTTTTTCCAACAGTTCCAGTTTCAGAGCTTGGTCAATCCTGTCGCTGCTGAGCAGTTGCTCCTTGAGAGAGAAGACTCCCTGAACCACTGACTCCTTGTATTGCACGATGGCGGACTTCTTATCCCGGTTGGGAAACAATACCTCAAGGTTCGAGCTTTCCAGACTAGTGACTAAAGACTTTCAGGAGTTCTTTTTCATTTCCGTTCACAGTGCTCTCAAAATGATACAATTGATAGTCATATGACGGAAAAATGCTCTTCTGACACACCATACCGCTTCCAACGAACATCAACCTCTTCTACAAAAACGAAAGCAGGGATCCAACACCAAGCAATCCAACGTCATATTTTGTAGGAACCCCAAGGAAACCCAAGTTGATGAGGTTGACTTATGATAATTCACCTGAAATGCTCAAGGTGATGATTTGGGGCTTACATATTCCCCTTGCTAAATAGCCAAATAAAGAGTAAAAAGCCTTCTGCCATCCATGGTGCCAAACTTTGGATTTGCTCCTTGGTCATTGGACTCTCCTTCTTTAAATCCAAACTGCGCTCGATAAAGGACCTGCAGATCGTCTCGACCCAGAAGCGATTGGGGTAGCTTTCAGATTTGGGTGGATACGACTGAAAGCCATCCAGATTTGGCTTGATAAGACTGAAACCCATCCAATTTGGTAGAAATTCTACGATTCATAACAGCATCCAATGTTGGACTACACATGATTAAACCATATCAAACCATCCAATTTCACAAGATCCACCTCTCATAGGTGTAGCCATCAGCAATGACCGGATCCTCCATCAACTCTAAGGAGAGCAAGGACAAAGCAACTCTCTGCGATCCTTCAGCAAGTCCTGCACCAAAAAAGCGGTCAAAATGAATCAAATATATGGATACATATATATATATTATAGGATATCTGATATATATATATATATAAATAGATAGGGAAATTACTTGATTTGTCCCATCAAACATATTCAAAAATGGGATCTTTAGAAACATGGCAATTTTCTCTATATGATCAATGTGCTGATTGTCAGTCATTCTGTTGTCCGATAGCCAACGGCAGGGATTTGATGTGGAAATTGCTCAAATTGCTGTGATTTTGATTGTATTGATCTGAGTGTTGGACTACTCTGGTTGCTGGTGCAATGTGCCCATCTTGAAAAATATGAGTTCGTCAATGGGGTTGGGATGACATCCCATATTAATGAAATGGAACATAAAATCCATTCATGTTTGAAACCACCAACCAGTACGTTTTTCCCGATGAATTGAAAAGACAAGCTCTGCAATGTTCAGTTCTTGGGATCATCCCATCAATGACCTGCAAATTGGAGCTGACCAGTGACCCTGCAAAAAGTCATGAAAAGTCATGAAAAGTCAACTATTTTAGGCTTCTTTCACTTTTTCTACCTTTTCGGGTGTTGCTATAGCTCATCTTTGGGATACACTTGACACACTTCAAGCCATGCCAACAGCCGGGGCCTCTGAGATGAATCTTTGCTCATTGTCCGCCTTTCTCAAGCTGTGGCTATCCTGCATCTCCTGTGCCCACTGCAGCGCCAGTGGACATTAGTTTGATGAATTGATGGGCCGTTTCAATCCTTCCAAGAAGGAATTGCGATACACAGTTGGTCCGACTGGAGTTTTGAAACACAAACTAGAAGTTGTACCGCGCGAATTGCTGGTATTTCAATAGATGAGGTTAGCCAGACCGCTACTGATTATTCCTGCTATCATCTCCTATCAATGTTATGGCTGGTTTAGCATAATGCGTGAACCATGTGCTAGAAGGTATGGCTAGCTACACCCGAACAATTGACAGGTGGATAACCTAAGATCTTTTTAACAAAAATGCCAGTCATGGGTCCACTATCGGCAGCCCCCTGACTTCACCGAGCGAAGGATCATTGATGGTTGGGTGGGTCACTTTCTCACCCTTATCTTTTTGATTCAAACTGGTTCAAAGTGATGATACTTCAAGATGACTATAATTAATTATAATTACTATGATGTGGTGGGTTCCTAAAACAGGTGTACTCCCAATCATCCAAGTCATTGGACCATGTTAGTATTGATACCCATGGTTACGGGGTCATTTTATATTAGGAAACCCTGAGTTGGTGGTTCGGGGGATAGGACTTTGGTGGTGATTGGTTGGTTGACATCCTGGAAGTGTTGAGAAATCCCATGTGGAGGGCAAGAGTTGGGCAACAAAACCCGCTAGTGTCTGCGAAAACAGAGTTATATCATAATTATCTACTGTTTTTATTGAACATTCCATATTCTATCTACTTCAGGATGAATAATTAATCATATATAAATCATATATCTGGGATTATCTGGGTAAAATAGAATATTTCACTAACCTAAATTAAGGCCATTTGGGGATGATCTCCCCATAATAAACCATGATAAACCAGGCTTCGGTCGCCAGGTCACCAGGCTGTTTCGAATGGTCTCAATGGGATTTTATAGGGAATTTTTGATGGGAGAATGCCATGTTTACCATCCCCCAGTCATCACCATAAATATATAGGTGGTATGGTTACCATTCATGGGACACGACCAATTGGTTTAGAATTTTAGAATTGTTTAGATCCATCCGATCCCTGCCACCATTTGCGACCGCATCGCAACTGCCGCAACTGAATCCCGCTGGGAACATTCCGCGGTCCTCACCGTCACCAAGCCCATGCGAGCCAGCGACCGCACCACGGCAGCTTCTTCGCATCCAAGGACTTTTGAGATCTGCGCTACTGACAGGCCCTCCCGGCCTGGGCGTTGGCGCTTAGAAGGGTATTGCCTAGCATCATCCTGGTGCACAGAATCAACAGTATATGGGCGTGTCTGAAAATAGTGGATATGCACCCCCATTTTATCGCAACTTTTAGGGGAATATGAGGTTGAACCATCATCAGTCATCATCAATTTTGGGACTACCCTATCTTTGGATAAACCCACATCTGTGGCTCAAAATTAGGTACCGGAAGAACGGGTGATATAACATGATATAACTAAATCTATAATCATGTCGAAAGACATCCAACAAATACCAAAGATAACCGTGGCTTCCCTGTCTTCCGTCGTTGTTACATTCGTCTAAACCTGCAGTCTCTACACTTCGTCTGAGGGTATCACAAATTTGAATTAAGATATGCCACTTTCCACAGTCCATAAATTCATAAACCATCATAAATCATCATAAATCTGGATGACTTATAATAATTCACTAACCTGAAATAAGGTCATTTTGGGAGACTTACCCCAATCCTAACCATCACTCCAGTTTTTCGTCACAGTGAGATAGATCTTTCTGCACCATTCAGAGCCAGGACGCTCATGCGCCAGATGAGCTCATCTGCATCTTGATTGATTCCCTCGACCTTTTCTTCCTGGCTCTCGTGATGTCATCCAAAGGTCTAGGTCGCGCACAACCACGCACGGACTAAATTGTATAAATATTTGGAGGTTTCCTGAAATGGGGGTATCCCTAAATCATCCATTTTAAAAGGAGTTTCCATTACAAGCCAACCATTTTTGGGGATCCCCCATTCACTTACATACATGATCATACATGTATAAATACATGTTTCTAAGTGAAAGGATGCTAATCAAAGCAAATATTGTTTACACAAATTTGCTGCACATTGTCTAATGATGTCTAATGTATGCTGATATCAAGTTGCGACAACAACTATTTTCAATTTCGTGCGTGGTTTAGGCTCAGGTGTGGGCTTGTACCAACACTTTCGGAAAACCTTTCTCTGGTTTCTCCCACACGCTGGCTTCCACTTGATTCGTTGATCCTCAGCATGGTATAGCATGGCATAGCAACCCTATCTGATCTTGATGTATCTTGGGCTGCAGAACCCAACAAAAGTGAAAGATTGATTATCTGGTTGGTGGTATACCTACCCCTCTGAAAAATATTAGTCAATGGAAAGGATTATCCCATATATGATGGCAAATAAAACATGTTTGAAACCACCAACCAGTTATCATTGATTTCCTGTGGAATTCTGATTTCAGGGGGGTGCCACCCTCACCACAGGTCTGTTCTCTGCTGCCGTCCTGCTTGCTGATAAACTCTTTCCACGTCTCGATGTGCTTGACATCCTCCAGTTCATCAACAGTCGATTCGCTTGGAAACCCGAAGTGCAATAGATTTCCGCGACAATATTTGTTGATTGTTTTTGAATACTTAGGAAACAATCCAGTTTGAGCTTTGGGTGGTTCTTTCGACCCCAGTATCTCATACTCTTTCCTGTGGACTACTCTATTGGCATTCACATCTGTCACCAATTCGCGAACAGGCTCCTGCATTCAAGTACCTTCTATGCACAAAGCTTCATGGGAAGTTTGCCTGATTAGGACTAGGTAGAGTGGCCCTTGTGCAACTCAATCGGCCCTTGCGACACTTCCCTTCATCCCCTGACCTCCGTAGCCATCAGAAGGTGGTCGAAGGCAGCTCCCGAAATCTTGCACCCTGGAAATGACTTGAACGAAAATAGCTGCGGTCATTACAAAATGCTGCGTGTCGCCCAGCTGAACCGTTGTGATCAAAATCGATCTCACCATGGACGAACATCACCAAACCTTTGCACACCAACAGTCATCTAATCTTGACAAATTGGACAAACACTTGCATACTACAGCTAAGTTAACGCCGTCCTCAGGAGCACATTAAAGAACTCTGCTGGTGAATAGCTCCATCTCCACAAGTCTCCATCCACACCTCCCAATCAGCTGGCCAAAGAAGCAACTGCCATGCACATCGCTGGGAAGTTTCTGCGCTGTGTCTTTCTGATGGCTTTCAAACAGCTAACGAGATGCGTCATCTGCAATTTGTTGTAAGTCCAGCAGCATACAGCATAGCATAGATGGCCGTTCAAGTCGGAAAACTCCGCGACAGCACTGGACAAATGATTTTGTTTGTTTGCTAAAAAATATCTAGCTATTGAGTGAATTGCCTTCAGGAGCTACCGTAAGTCTCTGCTTTAGGAACCGGTCACTGGCATCAATTGTTTGTCTTCAAAACCATCTTAAGTGTACTGCGGATATTGGGAGTATCTCTGCTGCATGGGTATTGATATATTTTTTGAGCTTTTCAGCCATAGGGATCACAGGGCTGGCTGGAATGTAGCTGCTATCCACTATTGCAATCACACTTTTGTGAAGAACGCGTCAGGCATTCTAACCCAGGCACAAAAAGTGTCAAAGTAGGCATTGACGCCTAGTAGTCACATGCTTGCTTTCACACAAGCAGATGATCACAAATGTATACAGAAACACGATGAAATAAATGTCCATACAGGTTGTAGTCTTATATCCAATGTTCCATCATGTTCCACTACATCTCATCATATCATCATATATGAAGGGTTCTTTAAAAAATGGGGGATCCCCAAAAACAAAGGGTTTTACTGTAATATATACAAAAATGGTCTGCTTCAGATAATTGATGAAAATTGCTGGTTACAGGTGAGGTGTAACTACCCCCAGTTACTGAAAACGAACCAAAAAACAAATGCAATTCTACTGGGTGGTGATGTGTGTGTGTGCCACTATCAAATCCCTTGTTGATGGAATCCTCACCGTGGATTGCAAGGATCAACTCATGCCTTGTGCCATTACCAACCCATGTCTGACCGATCCTGTGAAATTCAGGGCGCGCACAGAACTTTTGGTAACGGGGCAGCGCTTTCTGGTTATACCCACTGGAACTTTGCCAGCGCCTGGTCCGAGGGCATGTCCCAAAGAAACATAGTCGTATTAATTGATATTTATATGATAACTTATATATATATAATGTATATATATTATAACATATTGTATATAGTATAATACATAATATCATATATGAATGTGTATATATATATATATATTATCTACGTCTGTGAAAGTATATGCTTGTTTTTTCAACCCCAAATACATGACATCGCAAATACTCGCAAGGTCAATCATCCGTTTGCACCTTGGCCAGCAAATCTCAGAGTAACCCCTCACCAAAAAAAAAGAACGGTAGTTACAGTAAATCCTGTTACTCTAGGGTAAAAGTAGATGGCTCAGAATCTTGAGTTGCGCCATCTATGTCAAAAAAAAAGGGGGATAGATGGCTCAACTCCCTTTAAAACAGGGCAGTTGAGCCATCTATGTCCCTAAAAATGACATATTTTTTGCAATCTTCTGCGCTGGTTTCTCCCCATTTTTTTTTCTCAACATCAAGCTGCTTTTTTGGGACATAGATGGCGCAACTCCCGGGGTTGCGCCATCTATGTGGGCATTCCCAGCCTGATTTTGGCGAAATGACGGAAGTTGTTTTGAGCCAGCAAAGGCCGAGACGCTTTAAAACCCAACTTTAACAAGTGACCTGAGGAACCGTTTTTGCCGTCAAGAAACGGTTCCTCAGGTCACTTGTTAAAATTTGGTTTTAAAGCGTCTCGACCTTTGCTGGCAAAATGACGGAAGTTGCGCCATCTATGTCCCAAAAAGGGACAACTCTGATGTCTTTCCTGGTGGTTTTGCCTCCTGTCTTGGGGACAACTCTGATGTCTTTCCTGGTGGTTTTGCCTTCTGCCTGGGGATAACTCTGATCGATGTGGCATATTTTGGTTAGGTTGGTTGATGGATGTCGGGAGATATGAGGGAGTTGCGCCATCTATGTGGGCATTCCCAGCCTGATTTTGGCGAATGAGTGGGAGTTGCGCCATCTATGCCCAAAAAGGCAGCTTGATGTTGAGAAAAAAAATGGGGGGAAACCAGCGCAGTGCCAATTTTCCACTTGGGTTCGCCCCGGAAAACGGACCCCACCAAGTGTCAAGTTTCCTTTGGCAAACTCAGGAAAAAGCCACTTTTCGGGGGACTTGGTGGGGCCCGTTTTCCAGGGCCAAGCAAAGTGGCAAATTGCCAGAGCGTAGAAGATTGCCAAAAATAGGTCATTTTCAGGGACATAGATGACGCAACTCCCACTCATTCGCCAAAATCAGGCTGGGAATGTCACATAGATGGCGCAACTCCCTCATATCTCCCGACATCCATCAACCAACCTAACCAAAATATGCTACATCGATCAGAGTTATCCCAAGGCAGAAGGCAAAACCACCAGGAAAGACATCAGAGCTGTCCCAAGACAGGAGGCAAAACCACCAGGAAAGACATCAGAGCTATCCCAAGACAGGAAGCAAAACCACCAGGAAAGACATCAGAGTTGTCCTTTTTGGGACATAGATGGCGCAACTGCCTCCTGTCTTGGGAAAACTCTGATCGATGTGGCATATTTTGGTTAGGTTGGTTGATGGATGTCGGGAGATATGAGGGAGTTGCGCCATCTATGTGGGCATTCCCAGCCTGATTTTGGCGAACGAGTTGGAGTTGCGCCATCTATGTCCCAAAAAGGCAGCTTGATGTTGAGAAAAAAAATGGGGGGAAACCAGCGCAGTGCCAATTTTCCACTTGGGTTCGCCCCGGAAAACGGACCCCACCAAGTGTCAAGTTTCCTTTGGCAAACTCAGGAAAAAGCCACTTTTTCGGGGGACTTGGTGGGGCCCGTTTTCCAGGGCCAAGCAAAGTGGCAAATTGCCAGAGCGTAGAAGATTGCCAAAAATAGGTCATTTTCAGGGACATAGATGACGCAACTCCCACTCATTCGCCAAAATCAGGCTGGGAATGTCACATAGATGGCGCAACTCCCTCATATCTCCCGACATCCATCAACCAACCTAACCAAAATATGCTACATCGATCAGAGTTATCCCAAGGACTCTGATCGATGTGGCATATTTTGGTTAGGTTGGTTTATTGATGTCGGGAGATATGAGGGAGTTGCGCCATCTATGTGACATTCCCAGCCTGATTTTGGCGAATGAGTGGGAGTTGCGCCATCTATGTCCCAAAAAGGCAGCTTGATGTTGAGAAAAAACATGGGGAGAAACCAGTGCAGAAGATTGAAAAAATATGTCATTTTTAGGGACATAGATGGCGCAACTCCCACTCATTCGCCAAAATCAGGCTGCAAATGCCCACATAGATGGCGCAACTCCCTCATATCTCCCGACATCCATCAACCAACCCAACCAAAATATGCCACATCAAAATATGTTGAAAGATGAGATTTCTATCATTTCTATCCATAAAATTCTGTCCACAATGAGTTTTCAAACATTCAGTGGTTCATTTACAAGGTATTGCAATGAATTTGTTCGAAGATTTGACTGCGATTTAAGGGACATAGATGGCGCAACTCATTTTTGAACCCATCGAAAAAGAAATTTCGGGTGTTTGAATGGGGTTTAAGGGACATAAATGGCGCAACTCATTTTCAAGGTATTGCAATGCAATTGTAAAAGTTTTTTTCAATATATTTGTCAAAATATGTTGAAGGATGAGATTTCTAGCATTTCTATCCATAAAATTTTGTCTACAATCAGTTTTAAAACATTCAGTGGTTCATTTTCAAGGTATTGCAATGAATTTGTTCGAAGATTTGACTGCGATTTAAGGGACATAGATGGCGCAACTCATTTTTGAACCCATCGAAAATAATTTTCTGGCGTTTGAATGGGATTTAAGGGACATGGATGGCGCAACTCATCTTCAAGGTGTGGCAATGAATTTTTAAAAGTGTTTTTCCAATATATGTTTGTCAAAATATGTTGAACAATGAAATTTACATCCATCCATTCTGTCCACAATCAGTTTTAAAACCTTCAGTGGTTCATTTTTAAGGCGTGGCACTGAAATTTTGAAAGATTTGTATACGATTTAAGGGACGTAGATGGCGCAATTCATTTTTGAATTCACCGAAAAAATGATTCTGGCGTTTGAATGGGATTTAAGGGACATAGATGGCGCAACTCATTTTATACAATACAAATTTGTGCAATTTCACCGTATATACAAGCAAAAATGATAGGAAATGTAGTAATTTTAGTTAACAATACCCTTATATCCATCTACTGGAGTGGCAGTTGCGCCATCTACCTTTTCATTTTAAAGTAGGGCGATTTTTTCTTCAATTGGCGGACCTCGTTTTATGTTCCAGCTAAAATAGCGCCGTTTTCTTTCTCAGCGCGCGGTGCCATCTTATGGGTATTTTGGTTTTTGAGTTGAGCCATCTACTTTTACCCCAGTATAAATCGGTGAGAAACTGAGAATTTACATGAAATTTCTGTTCTAAGTTCTATCATGTTCTATCTTTTTGATTCTTTTTGAAGGTCTTTTTGAAGGCTTCCCTTTCAGCCATTCCAATGATCACAAAGGGGTTTGAATTTGTTACCCTCTGATAATTTAACATAGCCATTGAAAATGGCCCATAAAAAGAGTTGATTTACCGAACTTAAAGATGGTGATTGTCCATAACTTTTTGGATGTTTAACAGAGGATAATACCTCAAAACATCAACAGACTGGAGAAACCATCCACTTGCCCACTTTAGCCGCTAGCATTCTGACCCGAAGGAATGCTGCCTTTGTCGCGCTATCTACCGCTGTGATGAGACACCCTCAGACATAATCATCATATATCATCATACACTACTGAATGGCATCTTTACTTAAAATAACAACCGAACAAATAAAAAAAACAACTTGAATTTATGACCTCATTCCACTAGACTGTTCGGTGGTTTCAACTCCTCTGATCCAAAAAAACCTTGGGGATTGTTGGTATCATTCCATCTGTCAAGAGCAATAAACTACACTCCCCAACGAACAGTATTGGCATACAAGGCTCATAGTTTAGATCATCAATTCTCCAAAAAAACAATGGAATGAAACCTTCATGTATCATGTATACCAATATATTTACATATATATATATATGTTGACTTTCCCCTTACAGTGCCAAGCAAGGAATGAAGCTGGTGCTGCACGCATATCTTTTGTCCATCACCCATATAAGCTCAAGAGGTCAGCAGCTGCGGCCAAGTCCGTGAGGTCAAAGGAGGTGACCAAAGGATCAGCGCGACCAAGTTGAAGACCAAGGGCCTGCACAAGGCCACCATCGCAGAAACCAGAAAAGGGGCACAGATGAGCCCAGGATTGCAGCTGCAGGCACACCACTTTTAGCAGGATCGGGACAAGCAGGTGCGAAGTTCCTGTACCACTAAGGCGTGGCGTTTGTGTTTACCCTGCTAATGGGCAATCACCAGCGGTCAAAAATGCAAAGGTAGCAGCAAAGGTCTGAATGCAGCTTCTGACTTTTGGAGAGAGTTTTGCCAACAAGTTGAGGGCGGCCACTTCCTGCAGGTAACTTTCCAACGTTGATTGCGACCTCAAACGAAGCAACCAAAGGAGGTCTGCAATGGCCTTCCCATTCTTATAGTGGTAGACTGCTGCTCCACCACGCAAACCGCCGGGAGTGAGCTGGAAGTCCTTTCCTATGCCAAGTTTCTCCAGCAAAAGATCCCATCTCTTCCTGTATTGGTATGGCAAAGCTCCAAAAAGCGGAGCTTCCAAAGGCAACTTCCTGAAGATCACCGTCAGGATCCGTGAAGCAGTAGCGTCAACCACTTTCATATGTTGCACTTTCGCAGGTTGCCTGGTCTGAGACTTGAAGCTTCGAAGTCGTAGGAAAACAGGCGCACCGATGGGCTCAAGCACATCGGAAGGAAGCACAAGATCCTCACGAGAGCATCTCAAAATCTCACCAAGCCTGCCGGCACCATAAAAAGCTAAAACTGTTGCTCCAACCCATGCATACCATTTCAGGTGCCAAGCTAAGGCACACATCGCCATCACCAGCGTCTCTGGTATGGGGGTACGGTGATTGACAGGGGTCAGCATCTCCCACTTCTCAACCATCTCCCATGCGGGCATCATATATACCCTGGAACTAGGTACCCAACGTTGAGCAGCCAAAACCAAATGCCGGTAGTTGCTGAGGGCGCCACCATTCTTAAACATCGCCTCAGAAAACGACCTCAGCGCCCATGGCAAGAACTGCGGCACCGTAGCAAACAGCGCTTCAATGTCGACCGCTGGCATGAAGTTAAGGCACCAACGCTTGAGGCGTCGAGCTGTCTGGCTTCCAGTGCCAGGGTCTGAGGTGTAAGGAGCTGCACATCAGATAGCGCCCCCAAACGCACGGGCGTCCCTCTGGTTCGTGGCCCTGGGTGTAGTGCTTCACCAACACGCAGCGAACCCGTCATCGAGCATCCGGCCACATCAAGACGTTTAGCCTTCCAGCAGCGGGCTGTCAGACTCAAAGGAAACGACCTAGGGCGGCCTTGCAAAGCACTCCAGCGTGTCAAAGAAACACCAAACATCTTGAAGCACCAAATGCCGTCGGCGTCGAGGGGCGCCTGTCTGCGTCGGCCATAGTGCAAGTTGCGAGCACCGTTGAATAATCCTCCTTCTCTGAAGAAAAACTGCTGCCAAGAAAGAACTCCCAGAAGCTCGTCAACTTCAGCCGAAAGGTTTGTTCGGCCGTTGAGTCCACCATGTCGAGGATCTTCAGCTGCCGAAGGGGCTTGGCGATTGGGTGATGGTGCAAAACTTCTGTCAGGATCCGTTCCAGTAGCACTGGTTCCCCCAGGCATTGTGGCTCGCCAGCACACACTCTCTTCAGTCATCGTTTGGAATAGGTTGATGTGGTGTGAGCCGCCAAAGTCTCCAGGAGAATGTTGAAACTCAACTGAAGGAGATCCGACATAGAGCATCCATCCGCCACAAACGTAAAAAGAACCCAGGCCCCGGCTGCCACTCCAAAGTAGCGTCTCCATAAATGCCCCAGGTGCGACCGACTCACAAGTTGATGCATCAGCACCACTTGCAGCCATGGCAAAGTACAGAGACCTAGAGCCGGCTTCCCAACCAGGACAATGGAGAGACGGAAGCTGCATCACCGTTTTCAAGAAGTGCAACAGGGCACTACTCTCCAAGTCAGGTCGAAGTTTGAGCAGGCGGTAGGCTCTGGCCAGGCACTTCGAACTTGGCAAAAAGTTGGCAACACTCATCTCCTCCAGCACGAAAAGCCACATCAAACTGCCTAGACGAAGCTGCAAAAAACGAATTTCACCCAGCCAGCACGGACTAAAAGCAGAGGTTTTTGCCATGACTTCCCAAAAGGAGTGGTACATGCACTTCAGGTCCGCCACATCCTGATCACTACTTGACAAACCCTGTCCCAGTGCGAAGCAAGCAAAGGGGTCAGATAGGCTCACCGTCACCCTCATGCCCTGGATGCATCCAGTCAAGTTGCTGAACGCAAACATTCCGTTGGCAGACTTGGCAAGCAAGAAAACTGAAGAGGACGTAGCGACTTCATCCAAAAGCGACACCCGATCCAAGGGCATATCGTAGAGCCCACAGCAGTCCATGACACCGTAGGGCGTTGGATCAAAAGAGCCACTCAAGGGAAACAAAGGTCTTTCAGCCCCAGTTCCCTTTAGGATGAGATCGCAGCGGACCAACACTTTTCCGCTCCCTTGATCACACTGTCGAAGGAGACAGTCACGGCAATGAACCTCCGCTTCCTGCCGGAACCCAGCAAAGGAGCACACAAAAACATGCGCCGTCTCAACCACCCAGGAAAGAACATAGAGGTAGACTTCGTACCCCTCCTGAATAACGGAGAAACATTCCGTCCCAGGGACCTCGACGAATTTCAAAGTTGTACCATCAACCACCAGGTGCAAAAGTATCATCACCACGCTCCATTGTCTCGCAGACAGCGAAGTGCCCAGTCGAAGGAAAGGCGGGGCCCTCATAGGTCTTCTGAGCGACCGCCATTTGAACATAGCCACTTGCATCGACACCAGCCACTTCGTGCTGGAATCAGCAACAAGAAAGGCCCCAGATCGGAACAACTCGCCAAAAGAAGGCGGCATGGAGAGCGCGGCACCAGATGGTGACGTAGTGCATGAACTGCAGCGGGACATCATCACGATGGACTGCAAAAAACCCAGGAGGGCACAACTTGCTTTCATGACCCACCGAGGCAACAAATTCAAAAGAGCGGGGAGTCTAACTATAACAGCCCCTGAACCCGATGAAGACATCAAATCACCAGGGAGAGGGGCACAACATGCACCTCCACGTTCAGCATCTATGGATCCGTGGAGCTTCCCGCTGCTTGGCTCTTTGCCTTTGCCTTTGGCCTCGCCTTCCTCTTTGGGTCGGCATCGTTCTGCTCGTCTCCAGTGGCGTCCTTCCCCGTCTTGCCATACTGCTTGCCGAGGTTCTTCCGCTTGGTGAGGTAGTCCTCCGTGTCTTTGGGCAAGCGCTACTTCCTGCCACCTGCTGTCCAACAGCTTGCTGTAGGGAGGCTCCCCATCGCTGACTGATGGAGGTTGGTGCATTGCCAGGTTCGAGAAAGGCGGCCCCGGCTCCAAAGCCAACTCTGACGCAAGGGTCCAATTCCCCTTGTCTATCGAGGCTTGATCCAGCATCAGAAGGAGTACTGCAGCCCGAGCTCGAGCCTTCTTCACATTGCCTTGAACCAATGAGTCGAGAATCCCAGCAGCACACCAAGCAGCATAGGCAGAGGAACGATAGGCTCCAATCTTTGACCTGAACTCGACCCAAGCTCTGGCACAAAGTTGCGGTACAGGCATTCCTGGAGCAACAGTTGCAGAGTGAAGATCCTCCAGCATCAACTTTTCGATCAGGGCCGAGATCTCCTCGGGGGCATTCTCGTAAGCTGCACGTAAGGCTCTTCTGGCGGATGCAGCCTTCTTCCCAGTCCCCTGCAATGGGGGATCGACGGAGGACGCAACCCCTCCTTCGAGAGCCAGCTCGAGCCTCGACGTCGATGCTCTCTTCACCTTGTCGTCCGTGAGGATCTGCATGAGAGAAGTCAGCTTTATCAGGGAAGCTGCAACTGGATCTTGAGTCTCTAGACAGGATCCCTCGGCAACCTCCTTGTCGGAGCAGTGCACAACTTCTTCCTCTGACAACGGGTCCGGTTGGACCAATGTGCTCATGTCCTTGACTCTCACACCCTTTTTCCCATGCCCTATCAGAGCCTGCATCTGCTCTAGGTTCTCCTTCGGCACTCCCGCTTGGAGAGCAGCATTCACAACTCCTGGATCGAGCAGAGGAAAAGCACCTGCCACATCGGGAAACATCACTCCAGTTGCAGGGGTCTTGGACGATTTTGCCTTCGGAGAGGCTTTGAGAAGAGACTTTGGTTTCGGATTGCCAGCACTGCTCGTCAGCTTCTTCATCTCGTTCAAAACCTCCATCATGGTGTCCTCGACTCGGGAGACTCGCTGGTCCATCATCTGGAGTGAAGGCACAGGCGAACCAGCATCGGCTTCGTCCATGGGCAAACCATCGACGTCCTCTCCAGAAAGGCTCGGTTCTGTCGCAGCCCCATCGGCTGAGAAAAAGGCGAAGTGCTCGTTGGCAACATCCACCAAAGCTTGAGCCATTGGAAGGAGGTAGAAACCAGTCGCATCGTCGAAGGAATACTCGACATCGAATTCCTCCAAAATCTCCAACTGGTCCCTTGCTGTCGGCTTGAGGAAGCCAATCCATACCTTCAACGTGGAGTCCTTGTACTGCTCAGCAAGATTGGAAGGAAGAGCAGCGGCCACCTCAACCAAAGTAGGTTTGAGAAGGCTCTTCGAGGGGAGCACGCGCAAAGCCACTGTACGATGCCAGACAGAGGAAGGTACAGCCACCAACAATTGGCCGCTGAACTCACCTATCTGAATTATCTGCAAAGTAGGTGCAAAGGTTGCGGGGTCGACCACAAAAAGCCCCACCGGGTAATCTGAATTCACAGTGCCCTCGTCAACGATGTAGGGCAACTTTTCCGACGGCCAAGCAGGCTGCCGGAAACAACTCATCCCTCAATCACTGCCGGCCAGATGAGCTGTGCTGCCTGCACGACCCTCCTGGCTTCACGCTCCGATGGGAGCCCCACAAAGACACTATCTCCACACTCGTGGCTCGTCGGCTTGCAGAGCAATTTGCAGCTCGTCCACGATTTCACCACTTTCACGGGAGTGTAGATCTGCCCTGCGTAGTCTCTCACCACAATCCAAATGCGGGAAGGTAAGGGAATCTTATCCCTTCCACTCGCACCTCGGTGCCCTCCGCTGATGCTGCGGGCCAAAAATCGTCCAATCTGATCACAGATCTCCTCTCTCTCAAGCCAAGTGAGCGAGGTGGTGGTTGACGCAGGAGCCGCTGTAGGAGCCACAGAAGAGGTGGCTGGGCCGCTCACAACCAAAAACTGCTCAGGAGACTTGGTCTCGTCACTGGTGGAGTATCCTGAAGAGCTCCGCCTCTGCACTGATCTGTCCAAAGACTGGGAATTCGGTCTGGACTCGCTGTCTCGATCTCCTCCTGAGTGCACTGACGACTCAAGCTCTCGGATAGCTTTCCAGAGCTGCCTGATCTGACCCCGTAGATCCGCAACCTCGTCCTGGAGCTCGACGACAACGTCCTCCAGAGCGTGATCACGACGCATCAACACAGCTTGTACAGTGATTTTCCCAAGCTGCGCGGCCGTGAAGGCCGCTCAGCTTCAGTCACCCGCTCAGCCCACCTCAACACGCACCACTTGGTAGTGAACCAGATCTCCAGGAGGAGAAACACGATGATGCCGGCCACAAGCCCCAGCACAAAACTGACACCGTCCAGGCGCCAACCAGAAAGTGCCGTGAGATCAGCGCGATCGGCCCAAGTAAGCAACTTATAAGCTACGGCTAAAGAACTTCCCGTCCCTAGGCCGTTGGTGAGCCCATGCATGAGCCAAAAGTTCTCCAGCACCAAGGACACGTAAACATCCAGAGCATATATATGTATATCCACATACATATGAAGGTTTCCAATCCATGGGGGTAACCCCAAATCATCCATTTTAGTAGGACTTTCCATCACAAACCATCCAGGGGTACCCATGGTGCAGGCCTCACGGGCTAAGCGCTTCGCATGCTCGTGGTCCACGCGTGTCACCAGGACCTGTCGCGTCGCAATGGGAAGGAAACTCCTTAAACACCCAACAAAAAATGCTATATGGTGAAATCATGGGAAACCAAACAAAAATAGAGATTTATAGATGGTAAAAATCCCACGACAAATGAAGGTTTACATGGGAAATTCATGGTTTGCCATGGGAAATTCATGGGAAAACCCAACAAAAATAGATGTTCACATGGGAAATTCATGGGAAAACCAAACACAAATGACGGTTTACATGGAAAAATCATCGGAAAACACAACGACAAATGAAGGTTTACATGGGAAATTCATGGGAAACCCAACAAAAATAGATGTTCACATGGGAAATTCATGGGAAAACCATACAAAAATAGAAGTTTACATGGTAAAGTCATGGGAAAACCCAACGACAAATGAAGGTTTACATGGTAAAATCATGGGGAAACCCAGCGACAAAAAAAGGTTTACATGGGAAATTCAGGGGAAACCCAACAAAAATAGATGTTCACATGGGAAAATCATGGGAAAACCCAACAAAAATCCGCACGCCTGCCGGCGTGTCTTGTGGATCTTGCTTGTTCGCAGTTGTACTGTCTGTTTTGCTTTTGTCTTGTCTAGACTTCCCCCTTGGCGCGGATTTTTGCCTCGTCTAACTTGAACCCCCCCGCCACCTAGCTCTTCTTCGTTTCGTCTTGACCTTTCCTTACGTTGTGGTGGGCTCAACTCTGCCCACGCCTCGCTCAACACCGGCTTGGTTTTGCACATCTTGCTGTCATTTCCATGGTTGTTTCCGTTTTTTTGTGTTTGCCATCGATCATCGATTTGCTCCGTCGCTTCTTATATCCAATACTTGATCCACTGGCTTTTGTGCCGAACACCTTTTACACGCATAACCTTTCTAAATATGGCCTTTTCCAAAGCCGTTCTCACTATGGCCTTTTCCAAAACCCTGGTGAACACACATGTTTTGGTTTAAACTTAAAATCGTGGTTTGAACAAAACCAATGTTTTTGCGTCCAAACCATCTTTTGCACAAAGAGCTGTTTTACACAAAAACTGCGTTATCGACAAACACAATGTTTTACACAAAAACAATGTTCTTGCTGGGCCTGCGCAAGGGCTGTTTGCAGCCTACAGGATAGCTTTCCATGGTGGCCGGCGGAACACGCCGAAGGCGGTTAAATAGAGGATTACACGGTAAAATCATTGGAAAACCCGACAACACATGAAGGTTTACATGAATTTGGAAACCCAACAAAAATAGAGGTTTACATGGGAAAATCATGGGAAAACCCAACGACAAAAAAAGGTTTGCATGGGAAATTCATGGGAAACCCAACAAAAATAGATGTTCACATGGGAAATTCATGGGAAAACCACACAAAAATGACGGTTTACATGGTAAAATCATCGGAAATCCCAACGACAAATGAAGGTTTACATGGGAAATTCATGGGAAACCCAACAAAAATAAATGTCCACGTAGGAAAATCACGGGAAAACCAAACAAAAATAGATGTTTACATGAAGATGAAACTGGATCCACGCTTGCTCGGTATCGAATAGCTGCTCCAAAGTCACTCCCTGACTTGCCTCTTGGATGACATTGCGGGTCCCCTTTTTCCCGACGCATACTGCGTGGATGTAAAAACAGTGTCCGGAGAAAACACGAGAAAACATTGTAAGCTGCCTAGATATTCAAAATAGATTACCCTCCTGTAAATCAGCATAATTAGACATGGAAAACTGTCCGAAAAACATGGGCTTTCCGTGTCATATCTATGGAACTGGTGGGTGACATGAGGAAACACAGTCCAACCATGCAAGGGTTCTCATGCAGGCTTTACCTGCAAAGGAGAACATCTCATCTTGTCAGAGATGACCATAGATACCCTGGCGCGCACGAATGGATCATCTTTGATAGCCTGAAGAAAGAACTTCAGAAAGAACAGAAAAACATGTTTAGCTGGTTGGGAAAACTTAGGAATCAATATCGCCATTGGTAGCACAAGATTAAGGCAAACCAAAGTATACTGAACTACAAGTTTGGCTCCCCAGTTGTAAATTGGCTTAGAAGCCGAGTGTTATCATATTGTATCTATATCTACCAAAAAAAACATAACTTTAAACCATAATTAACCTAGTTGTAAACCAACTTAGCTATCGAACGGGGGCCCCTCGTGTACTCACCAAAGGTTTCCCCATGGTGTGTTTGACATGTCGACTCCAGGTCGTCCAGACTGAAGCCGAATAATGTCTTTGAAATAAGACCACGAAATAGCATTTGATATGTTTGATATATTGTTTTATAATGTTTTATAATGTTTTATATTGACATATATTTCTGTGGTAATACTATATGAAATAGTATGAAATAATTGCTGTATCATCATGATGACATGATCAGAACAAGAAACATGCTAAGCAATGCTGAAGAAGGCTCAGTAAAGCAAGCCTTCTTTAAGCCTGTTCCCCTGCCTAACTCAATGGGGGCCATCGACTTTTTCCCCTGCACTGCGCCTCAGTCGCAGCCCAAGGAACTTCTCAGCGTGCTAGCTCCGGACACGCCCGAGTTGCAACGCTGGAAGTTGGACAGACACGATCTGGAGAGTTATCCAGGCATCCTTCTGATGCAAGATCTCAGACGTGTCCATGAAATTCCGCCGTAGCCATGTCCCTGGTCTGTCCAGTGAAAGGTTGGTGCCAGCCTGACTGCCACCCCTCACTTTTCCTCTCACATAGAAAGCATTCTCAAAGTGCAGGCGCAGAGACGCCTTACCAGGAAGTGACCCGTCTTCCCCCATGGGGTACAGTGACATCCACGCATTGCCCCAGCTTAGGGGCAACTTGACACTTGTCTGCCCACCCTTTCTAAAACGCGTGAAATCATAGACGGACAAGTTCCATACAAATGACATCACGGCACGATCCTGACAACTCTTCTCAAAAAAGATGCATCTTTCCTTCGCCCCTAGGGCCTTGATGAGACCATCAGCATTGCGATCAGAAAACGCCAGTTGGGAGCCATCCAAACGCCGCCGTTTGGCACCAACTTGCTGCGCCAGCGTCATCAGCTGAGCTGGAGGATCCATATTGTAGGCGCGCACCAGCAAGTGATTTTTTTCTTGCTTGTCATGGCTACGTATTGCCAGCTCCATGGATGCACACCCTTGAAACGGCCAATCTGCAGCGTCTTTGGCATCGCACCTGTAAGCACGATGAAGCAGCTGATCACCAAGCGTTTGGAGATCGACATGCAGCTGAGGAATCGAGGATTCCCAGGATGCCAGAAAGACCGCTGGTCTCGGTCTCAGCCAGAAGTCCTCATGGTAGGCGATCAACAAACTCCAGAGATCAGTCAGATCAAACATCTGCAGAACAATGGAATCGTGCTTCCGAAACGATGCCTCGGATGTATTTTGAAACCCACATGATGTCTCATGAAATTGGGGAAAAATGTCAACGCCCACAAAAAGCACGAAAAAGCTTTTCCAAGGACGAATTTGGTCTGCTTTCATCTCTGAACAATTCCAACAAACTTGAGAAGCAATCCAAAGACACAAAGCAGAGGAGGAAATCATCAAACACCCCTGGCGTTCATGAGGCTTGCTGAATTTCAATCGTGGTTATAATTGATGTGGCGTTCATTCCCCTAACTTAACTTACTAAATAACCAGATAAAGCGAAGACAAGTGAATTGTCATCCATGGCACAAGACTCGCGACTGGCTCCTTGGTCAAGGGGCTCTCGGGCCTTCCGCGCGGGTACTTGATGGATGACCGGCAGATTTTCCAATGTCATTTCAGGTACATAAAATGGAGGGACTATAATATTGCGGGGATATCCCCTTACATATCTTACATACACCTTACTTAGACCTTGCATATGGTAGGTACTTCCAGGTACTTCCGATTTCTGTACCTGAAATGGCCAGTGAGATGTTCCACACATCTTTTCATGGGGGTACACCTTTGAGGACAAAAATACATGTCCCATTGAAAGCATCCGATAAATTGGTGAATTCTTCAACCCATCCAGATTTGGTATCCGATTTGAAGCCCCGGGATGCCCCGGGCACCTCTTGGTGTAGCCATCAATGACCGGATCGTCCATGTCCATGGGAGCTTCCAGCTGCACCTGGTGTCATCATTGCCATGGAGACGTTCCATTACCATGGCAATGAGTGTCGGTAAATGCAACGATTTGGTATACATGAAAAATGGGAATAAAACAGGATCCAATTTATGGAGGTACTGTACCACTTACTTCCATATTTGTGGCCATATGTTGTGGGGATATTCCCTTACATAGGCCTGAAAAATAGGCCATTGATACATGGGTATGGCCATGGCTATGGCTTACGGCCATGGGACGTGGATCAATCCATGGATCATGTCCGTCAAATCTTGGATGCCCTGCAAGGCTGTTAATGATAAAAGGTGACCTAAATTGACCATTTGCCTACCATTTGCCCATATCATGTACCTATCATTTACCCTCTGGTAAACGTTTACATCACTATGGAAAATCACCATTTTTAATGGGAAAACTCACTATAAATGGGCAATTGTCCATAGCTATGTTTGTTTACCAGAGGGTAACTATCATTCACCAGCCATTTAACATTGGCCTACCATCACCGACGTTGGCACCCGCGCCTCTGCGAAGCGCATGAGGCTATCCTGGGCAGAGAAAAATCTCTGGGAAAATGACGATTGGAACTCTGAGGATCCAACTTCGCATCCAGTTCACTGCAGTATCATTGGATTGGTTTAGTTGGGAAAATCTTAACCGGAAACCATGTTTTTTTACCATTAAAAATAGGGCTTTCCTGTAAATTGTCCCATCATCCAATTCTATGAAAGTATGGATCTGAAGTACAATGACTATGACTATGATATATATATATATATATATTATATATATTATATATATATACACATCCAAATTCAACTGAAGTTGGGTTGAAGGTTTTCAGTGAACAGGTTACTACTTCAAGCCAACTTGAGAACCAAGCAACTTCAGTTACCCCAAACAGTCAGAAGGCACTTGGATTCATCGGTCATCTTAAAGGGTGTTTCTGAAAATAGGTGAACATGATAATAATGGGATAAACATGGGATAATAAAAAATAATATACCAAAATTTGGGATTTTACTGATGAAAATTGATGACACACATTTTGCCACTAGTTTTTGTTGGGGATGATGATTGACCACGAAATCTTGCGGTAAACCGGTAATTGTCAGACAAAGCCAACCCCATTTCATCCACTGGTTGATCATCATTTTCTTCAAGCCCCATGTTTGATGGTTCAAGCATCACTTCAGCTGGTTAATCCTCCATTTTGATGACTAAATTGACTAAATCTTCAGTATTTCCGAACTAATCAAGGTCAGTTAAACATGTTGACGTGGTTATCCAATGAATCCACATTAAGTTCCATTGTATGATAGTATATACATATATATCCAATGAATCTACATATATATTATATCATACATCATACATATCACATATATAAATATATATCATATATATATATGTGTATACATATGTCCCTGATTTGTTGTCACTTCTCTCATGGAACGGTGGCTCAGTCCTGGCTGGAGCCAGCCTCCAGTGACAGGTCCTCCTTACCTGGGATGGGGCCATGATTTAATTAGATTTAACCATAGGGTTTTTAATGGGAAAACCCTAGGAAAACCATAGAAAAATGGAGGGTTACCCTCTGGTAAACATACAAAAAACATCAAAAAACTATGGAACATCGCCGTTTTATAAAGATAAATCCACCATAAAATGGCCATGTTCAATGGCTTTCTGTATGTTTACCAGAGGCGTTCCCATCTCCAGCCTGACAACGAGGATCCCATGCCCCGATCTCAAGATCCAGTGCTCTTCAGCAGGGTTTACTGGGTGATCCAATATCAACGGGGGGAAAAGATGGTTTGGATCCAATATAAACAGTAATATATGGGTGATCCAATTTACTGGGGGGTGATCCAATATGCAAAACTTCGGATTTGACATAAACACGATGGCTTTGTCTCAGGATGGTTACATAGCCATTTTTCCCCACATTGACGTGTGGGGTTTTTGTTTTTAGTTCTGTATCCGCTCCTCGTCGTCCTCCTCCTTCCCGTCCTCCCTCCTCACTCACACACACACACACTCACTCACTCTCACTCACTCACTCTCACTCACTCACACTCACTCACTCACTCACACACACTCTCACTCACTCACTCACTCACTCACTCACACTCACTCACTCTCACTCACTCACTCACTCACTCACACTCACCCACTCACACACACACACACTCACTCTCACTCACTCACACTCACTCACTCTCTCACTCACTCACTCACACTTACTCACTCTCACTCACTCACTCACTCACACTCACTCACTCTCACTCACTCACTCACACTCACCCACTCACACACACACACACTCACTCTCACTCACTCACTCACACTCACTCACTCTCACTCACTCACTCACACTCACCCACTCACACACACACACACACTGCTGGCGTCCCTGGGTCTCCGCCTCTTTTGCGTGGCAGGCATAGGACAATGTGCACTGCCAAGGGGTCGGATGTACGCCCCGGGGTTCCGCTGGCGTCCCTGGGACGCCGCCGCTTTTGCGTGGCAGGCGTGGGACAATGTGCACTGTCAAGGGGTCGGATGTACGCCCCGGGGTTCCGCTGGCGTCCCTGGGTCTCCGCCTCTTTTGCGTGGCAGGCGTGGGACAATGTGCATGGCCAAGGGGTCGGATGTACGCCCCGGGGTTCCGCTGGCGTCCCTGGGTCTCCGCCTCTTTTGCGTGGCAGGCGTGGGAAAATGTGCACTGCCAAGGGGTCGGATGTACGCCCCGGGGTTCCGCTGGCGTCCCTGGGTCTCCGCCTCTTTTGCGTGGCAGGCGTGGGACAATGTGCACTGTCAAGGGGTCGGATGTACGCCCCGGGGTTCCGCTGGCGTCCCTGCATCTCCGCCGCTTTTGCGTGGCAGGTGTGGGACAATGTGTACTGTCAAGGGGTCGGATGTACGCCCCGGGGTTCCGCTGGCGTCCCTGGGTCCCTGGGTCTCCGCCTCTTTTGCGTGGCAGGCGTGGGACAATGTGCACTGCCAAGGGGTCGGATGTACGCCCCGGGGTTCCGCTGGCGTCCCTGGGTCTCCGCCTCTTTTGCGTGGCAGGCGTGGACAATGTGCACTGCCAAGGGGTCGGATGTACGCCCCGGGGTTCCGCTGGCGTCCCTGGGTCTCCGCCTCTTTTGCGTGGCAGGCGTGGGAAAATGTGCACTGCCAAGGGGTCGGATGTACGCCCCAGGGTTCCGCTGGCGTCCCTGGGTCTCCGCCGCTTTTTGCGTGGCAGGCGTGGGACAATGTGCACTGTCAAGGGGTCGGATGTACGCCCCGGGGTTCCGCTGGCGTCCCTGGGTCTCCGCCTCTTTTGCGTGGCAGGCGTGGGACAATGTGCACTGTCAAGGGGTCGGATGGGCCCCTGGGTCTCCGCCTCTTTTGCGTGGCAGGCGTGGGAAATGTGCACTGCCAAGGGTCGGATGTACGCCCCGGGGTTCCGCTGGCGTCGGGTCGGATGTACGCCCTCACTCACTCACTGACTGACTGACTGACTGAGTGACTGACTCACTGACTCACTGACTCACTCACTCACTGACTGACTGACCGACTGACTCACTGACGCACTCACTCACTCACTCACTCACTGACTCACTCACTCACTCATTCACTCACTCACCCACTCACCCACTCACCCACTCACCCACTCACCCACACACACACACTCAATCACTCACTCACTCACTCCCTCACTCCCTCCCTCCCTCCCTCCCTCACTCACCCGCTCACTCACTCACTTCACTTCACTTCACTTCACTTTAATTTCACTTCACTTCACTTCACTTCACTTCACTTCATTTCACTTCACTCACTCACTCCCTCACTCACTCACATACATCATCATCATCATCATCATCATCACCATCATCATCATCATCATCATCATCATCATGTGCCAGCGATGTTTACCAGCCACAGGGCATGCAGAAAGAGATCACAAAATGTGCGGCTGCGCTCGAAAGAGTGCAGAACATTACTTTGGTCAGCGGAAGTATGGTGAGCACACCATCGTTTTGATAGTGTGTCGGAAAAAAAACCATCAGAGCCTGGTGGAACTCGATGAAAGCGAAGCAACTTACTCACAAACAACTTACCCTACGTACATACATACATAGATACCTAAATACATACCTACCTACCTACCTACCTACCTACCTACCCTACATACATACCACCATCGTCCCTCCATCACTCTTATCCTTCCTCTTCCCTTCTCGCTTTCTGTGCTCCGTCTAAGTCTGTTTCTTCACTGAGGTCGATGCCTTCGTCCTTACCAAACGGTTCGGCTTCGGTCGAGCCGACACCACGTTGGCCGGTGGTGGGGACGTTAATGGGAGGCTTCACACTCACTCACACTCACTCACACTCACTCACACTCACTCACATTCACTCACACTTCACTCACTCACTCACTCACTCACTCACATCACTCACTCACTCACACCTAACTCACCTACCTCACCTACCTCACCTACCTCACCTACCTCACCTACCTCACCTACCTCACCTACCTCACCTACACCACCTACCTCACCTACCTCACCTACCGCACTCACTCATTCACCCACTCACTCACTTCACTTCACTTCACTTCACTTCACTTCACTTCACTTCACTCACTTCACTCACTCTCACATCCCTCACTCACACACACCACACTCGCATCACTCACTCACACTCTCACTCACTCACTGTACATGTACATACATACATACACACAAGCTCACCCACCATCACCGCTCCATCACTCTTATACTTCCTCTTCCCTTCTTGCTCTTCTATGGTCAGTCTAAGTCTAAAGAAGTTGGTAACATGTGGGGTTATCCGGTCCTTTAATTTTTTACCATCATAAAGAGAGATTCAACCATTTAATCCGTTTAATCATAATGAATGGATTTGGGTCTTGGGGCATTCGCCTCTACATGGTCACGCAAAACTGTATTAATTATATCCAATGGTGTTGGGATCAACACGAAATGGGATACAATGGGAGGTAAGAGTTCTGTGCAATTAGGATTTGACATTGAAAATACCGCATTAAATATCATTCAGTGATGGATTTGGATTTAAGCCGAGAAATTGGAGACTAAGGCGCGAATATGTGTGTATATATATATATGAATATATATATATATATATGTATATTTAATATATATATATATAATGACAAACAAACAATTGGATGAATTGGAATGATTTGGGGATGCATTGTGTTGAGACAAAGTCCAAATGGTCAAATTCAACTGTGTGTTTGTGTGCAGAACTTGGCATTGTTTGCAGGGAACAGCGGAACTTTGTTAGTTTATTGGATGGCAACACTGGTTGTATGAGATTTGATTGGGTTCCATTTCTAGTTTGCCAATTCTTGAAAAGCTTGACATCTTCGCGTGGCTTTTGAGACATGAAAAGGTCGATTTGAGCTGCAGTTGTGGGATTCCTTTCCTGGCAGAAACTCGGAGTTCGTACCAAAAAAATGAGCACAAGCAAATCTGACAGTTGTAGTGTGAGCAAAGAGCTCGACACAGCACGTAGAAAAACCAGCTCATAGGAGTGTATTGGTACGACCCTGATGACACTCAAGAAATGAGTTCCCTGCGTCTTTCATTGGGAAGGGAGGTCGAACCATGGGGGTTTCCATAATAGTTGGTTTATAATGGAAAATCCTATGAACATGGATGATTTAGGGGTACCCCGTTTTAGGAAACCGCCGGTCCATATGTTGGTTGTAGATATCCATCATCATTATCATTAGCAAACAAAAGCCGTCGAGTGACTGCAGCAAGTAGACGAAAATTCACCGAAATTCATCGCGACAATGATCTAGCAATGCTGTTTGAAGTGCAGGGAAGGATATGAATGAAGCCACTGTAGGTGGCGCAGCCCTGTTACAAAGCCATCCAATGTCATGCAACGGTAACATCTCAATCCAATCCTTTGTGGGTGATCTTATCATCCTCCCTTCCGAAAAAGGGTTTCGGGAAAAGCTTGGTATTTTTGAGGCAAACTCACAGAATCTTCCCCTCTTGATGGCTATCATTGACATCGAATGGGTATAGGAGCACCCCTGCCAAAAATGATGGTTTCCTTCGCCAGGCCGAGCTGCGAATGGCCTTCTTCATCGCCAAGGCAGCCAAGCGGGCGCCTGGAGAATTTGATAGGGTAACTGCAACGAAGTCAGTGACAAAAACATCTGGATGAATTATCATAATTCACTTCCCTGAAATGAGATGGAATGAGGACATTTTGGGACAATTACCCCTACCAAAGCAGTGAGGTCGTTATAATTTATCCAGAAATCATAGATTTTGATTGGAAGAGTAGGGTATGCTGATATGCATTGATATGGTAGTAGATAATGCTATAGATACGATACAGCCTCACATCTTCCTGATCCTTGATTGGCCAAGTGTTTCTGAATCCTAGAGTACCTTCAAAATTTTGCAGATTAACTAAGGTCTTCGACCGGAACATATTCACTCGTTCGATTGGAGGGAATCTCATTGCATCATATTGCATCAACGATACGTGTTGGATGGATTTCTTTCCGTTCAACAATTCTGGAATGCACCAATGGAAATAGTATACAATAACCTATTTGTTGGATGGATTTCTATTCAATAACCTATTGCTATTCGTTCAACAAAAAGTCCTTCAAAATCTCAAAATCAAATCTCCACGGGGTCCCCATGGGTCCCCAACACCTGGAGAGGGAAACAACAAGGAGATCCAGTGGGGCAGCAGTTGGTAGAGACATTCTTTGTGTCTCAAATATTTTAAAGGTCAAACGGTCAAACATCCAAAAAGAGGACTAACCAGAAATAAGCCATGGGTCTGAACATGTCGGGAAAATACCACAAGAGAAACAATGCGACAATGATAAAACAGAAAAACATCAACTTCCCCATATCTTCACATATTTTCCACACCAAAATTGCCATAAATTGAGGGTGCTTGGCCCCTGTTCCCGCCGATCAGCGCCTCCGCAGCAGACAGCTGACCCCAAAAGGGAAAGCAAAATTGCCCTTCAAAATGCGTAATTTGTGTTTTTTCTGCACTGTTCTTAAATCTAAACTATGAATTTCGGGTGGATATTGGAGGTAATGATATAACTTTGAGATCGGTTTTGAGCCATTCTCATGCTGTAAAATGGAGCGGTAGTTATGCACTTCTTAAGCGGGTTAGGTTCTAGTTCGAACGAGATAGGCTAATAAATTCCAGTCAACCCCTACTGTTCAAAGCTTGCGGCGACATGGGACCTCATCATTGGCAGCTACATCTTCTGGAACCAAAGTCGCAGCGGAGATCAGCGGATCAATTGCACCTAGGGGCGGAGGCTGCTGAATAATCACCTCAATGGGGGCCTGAAATTTGGAGGATGACCTTTAATCAACTCAATGGGGGCTGAGTGATTTGCCATGATTGGCCTTGCGGCTCATTCCAGAATCAAATCTCGCAAGGTCCGAGTGACGTGCCGAAGTCTAAGATAATCACTGGGTCACCGGGTCATCTGGGGTCGTACGCACACACCAAGAGCTAGGTATCCTGGAAAACAGTTGTATCCCACTCTTCAGGTCAACATTTCCAGGACGGAACATGAACACAACATGAAAACCACAGCTGTTGGCGAAGTTTGCAAGCCAGGTGCAAGCCTCCTCCATAGTCTCCCAATATCCCCATGATCGCTGGCTAATAGCTCCTGATTCATCCCTTCCCCCTAGTAAGCTTCCTCTAAAAACCATGGTTTAGCACTGGATCTTTTCATTTTGGGTCCCGTTGGGAGGAAGGGATAGTTCCATTGATATCCAGATCAAAAAACAACATGTTGGATGGTGAAAACCCCATTGATCCTCATATGTTGGATTCATCCATATGATTACCCTCTCGAAATCAAACATGGTTTGCTGGAAAATCCCTGATTTGTCCCATATCAAAATTTCCATTTACGTGGATTTCCAATTGCTATGTTTGATCACCAAATGGTAAATAATACCATTCCCACAATATTAAACACCCCCCAGAAACCATAGTGTAGTAGGGGTTTTCCACATAACTGGGGTTATTTACAGCGCGTTTATTAATTTTAATATTACAGTAGGAGGATGGTAAATATCTGGCTTAAACCACCACTTGATTCTCCCGATCACCTTGTGTGCCAGCTTTAGCCGCACATTGCCAGCAAAGCGGACAGCAAATGGATGGGTTTCGGTTGGGAAGAGGTTTAGCCGTAAATCCATGGCGAATTTGGCAGTTCTTTCTCTCCAAATGTTGGAAAACATCCTGTATAGATGTATATACCATCTGGCTATTTAACATAGCCTTGGAAAATGGCCCATGTTTAGATGATTTTCCCATTAAAACCTCCATTTATAAGGGATTTTCCATGGGTATGTTAAATAACATTAAATAACCAGATGGTAGATGTTCACTTAAGATCCAACTCTTGGACTTCTTGGACTAGTGGATGATCTGATTAAGAAAAACCGCATCCAAGATGTCAAAGTGATGCCCCATGCTACCCTCTGGTAAACGTTTACATAACTATGGAAAATCTTGGAAAATCACAATTCTTAATGGGAAAATCCACTATTTCTATGGCCATGTTCAATAGCTATGTTAGTTTACCAGAGGGTAACAAGTTGTTGCATTGTTTACCAGTCAAACACTGCAATCAAGTCATTCCTTTTCGAGGAAACATCATCTGAGCGATCGGCAAAACCTCAATTGAAAAATGCGATCTTGGGTCAAAGTTATCGTTTTTGGGACTTCACTATATCGTTTTACAGTATATCCTGATTGCATCATCCGCATCCCCTGGCAAACTGCATGCGGAAAGCCTTTTTACACCTCCACTTCGTGTCTTGGGCATCTTTGACTGCCCTGCGCTTTCTTTTCCAGCGCTTCAACTGTATGGTGGGTGTGGTGTGATACCCGCCAACGCAACTGCAAATCACAGTTGCACCATCCTTTCTCCAGCTCAGAAACAAGCTTTGAATTCAGTTTGTTGGAGGAAACCCGGGTGAGCTCTCACAGCGACATGCTCCATGCCTTTCATTCACTCGCCAGCGTCTGCGCAGCAAACCATCGACCTGGTCCAACGCCATTGCCTTGGCTATCTTCATCTAGGATAAAGATCGTCAAACCGGACTTGCAGGTGCAGTGCTGCCCGAGATGAACCGGGATTGACTAAAGCAATGGAGCGCTGCAAAAGAATATGCATAGCAGCGAAAAGATCGCAATGAGCAAGTGATAATATTAAACGGCAAAGGATCATCTCAAGAATCTTTTGGCATCTGGGCCATCCATCAGCGAAGGACATTTTGTCAAGAAATGGTTATCGTTTAGTTATCGTTTTCGTTATCGTTCAAAGAGGGAAACATGTTTTGGGAAAATGGCATGAACCAAGGAAAGTTGGAAAGGATACCTGTTGTCATCGTCACTGCTTGCATGAAAGCGCGGAACTCATCCGAAAGGCTTGAACAATGGCGAGACAAAAAGAGCATCCAAACCCAGCTAGTTACCACATAACAATACGTGATTGGATACAAAACCGTTTGCAGTAATCAGAAATAAAGAAATTGGCCAGGATCAAGAGTGTCAGCATACTTTTGCACATCTTCCGTTGTGTGAGCTGGGCATGACGTGTACCCCACAACTGAGAGCCTAGATGATCTAGATGCTTCTAGAGCAGGTATCCACCATCATGTCATCTACACAACCCCTTCACTTCCCACGATGCTTTTACATATAATATGATTCCCAGGTTATCGTTTTTGGGACTTCACTATATCGTTTTACATATCAAGATGCATATTTTTACATACGAGAGCGCTCGAATACATACCTCCTACACGGAGAGTTTAGCCTCTTGCTCATCTAGAAATATCTAGAATCTAGAAATGGAAATAACATGAAATAACTAGAGACTTTTCAATGCCAGCTTAGATCAGCAGAGGGTACGGGGCTGGACTTTGTATGATGTTGTTTCATTGTTCGAGAACTACTTTCTCTGTGGCTGCTTGATACTGCATGTGGGTCTTGTAGGCCCTTGCAGTTGACGCTCTGGCTCCCACAGTGCTTGGTGCCGTGCTCCCAAACTGTTGTACTAGCAACATGAAGACATATGAAGACATTGTCTGCATAAGTTGAGGTAAAACGGCTGAAGCATGTCAAAATTACTTGTCAGGATCATCAAGAGGAACTGCAACTGAGGAATAAGCTTGAGAAACATACCAAACATTACCAAACTATGTTGCAGTGCTTGTTGGTCCTTGGAATTGACGGCGTCTGAGTCCTCACGGCGTCCTCATTTTTCAATGTGCCTGATAGTGCCGAACCTTGGCCCTTTGGCATCAAGGATACATCTCACAAAGCGGTACAAGGCCAAATCGGGAGCGAGGAAAGATTGCAAGTCCTTGTAGGTCTCAGCTGTGAGATTTAGATCCATCCCAGAGAAAGTGCCCTTATTCCTGTGCCTGAATTTGATGCTGTAGCCGTAGATCCGTTTTAGGCGGTTTGAGAAACTATCCATATCCTCTAAAAGCCCCAACACGGGATAGTGGAAAACAATATTCCGAATTGCAGTTCTCAGTTGGGTTTGTCCCACTTTCCGGAAGCCAATCTGCTTGCAGGTACCAGGCTCAAAACATGGCAAGCCTAATGAGTCTTCCGACAAGTCACCAGAAAGCATTCGCGTTTGATGATTGTCAACTCCGTAGAACCATATGTCGCCCCTCATCACAGCCCGGGTGTATTCTGCAATTGACGAGTTGCAAAAAGGTTTGTCAAATGGTGGCAAATGGCATTCCCAGCGGATATGCGACACGTAGCGTTCAATTGGTTCCCTCAGAAGTGTCGCATACGAGCAATTCAGGCGACAAATGCCAAAGGGGACGTGACCTTCCACACCAATGATGCTCTGCCGTGGAAAACTTTGGAGCATCTCGGGTGTAAAAATTCCCCATGGATACAACCTCCAGCCTGAAAGGACTTCAAGCCCAAAGCAGTGACGGCTTCCTTTCCTGATGCTGAGTTTCCCTTTGCGAGGTGTGATCACGCCACAGCCCTGGGCTCTGAAAGCTTGTTTCAATCCTTCTGCCACAGTCGTCCCTCCAGTTTTGGGAATGTGGGTAAATACCAATGGCCAACGTTCGCGCAAGTTGGGCCGACGTTGAAGCTCTGTGGTCATCATTCCCACTTCCCATTCACTAAATAAGCCAACTTGCTCAACACACTGAGCCATGGCTGCTGCCAAACTACCCTTTGGGTAACGCGTGTGATTTGGATGGTAGACTTCCGGCAACTTGATCTGGCGAGTTGCAAAGCTCTCAGGTGAAGTCTCAGTCGCAACCAATCCGGTCGCAGCCCGTTGAAGTGGCGTCACATGATTTTGAAAAAGAGCACTTCCAGCAACAAAAACGAATACTGAGATACTGAGATATATTGAGCAGGCAAGCACACATTTGTTCTTGCCGATGCAACGCATGGCAATTCTTTTCAAAATGTCCAGCTTTGAAACCGGTGCAACGGAAACATTGTCCGGCACTGATCGTTCCGCGTGGCGGTTGAGCCAGATACGAAAAACCATCAGTACACCCATATGCTCCATGGTGCTGGAATATTTACCATCATTTGCCCTAAAAATCACCCAAATGTAGGTAAATAATTATATGTAAATATACCATACATGGAGCATATGGGACAGTAAACGCAGGGCAACTTTGAAGACACAACGCCAGGAAAATTATTTTTCGATATCCCTGGCAGGAACAGGGTGGTTTGTGGCCCCATGAACGACCAGGATGTGGACTGTCCGATAGAATGGGGGATAATGATGGATAATGGGGGAGTAGAATTCAGTCATGAGACCACATGTTCGACAACTCTGACTCAAACTACAACGGTGTCCGGCTCATTTCTAGTCATAATTCATGCTGGGGAAGAGAATTATGGATACATGGGAAAAACGCCAGTCAATGCAACCCAAACATCCTAAACCATTTGAACAAAGAACTAAGCATTGTCGCGGGGCGGCTTAGTCCATGCACTGGAATCCGCTCAATCATGGTCTGTATCAATGCTGCCATGTTGGCGAAGTAATTGAAGGTTTGCACACTACGAATCCCATCGCCCTAATATTAAATTACTATGCAGTAATATGATCGCTTTTCTGGCAGGGTTAACATTTGGGGGATGGGGATTACTACAGTATCTACAATCTCAGCAGTCTATGTGTCCTGCCTGTCACTTCTTGCGTGTTCCCTCTGGGGCTACTCACGTTACCCCACGGGAGGATTGCAACAGTGAAATCCCCAGCGGATTCTCGGAATTCGTCACTTGTCAGACCCTTCAGTCCAAAAACTGGGGATGTAATGGAATACCATATAGGAATATATAGGATATCTCCATTCTTGTTGGTTCACTGACTCGAAAAACACAAAAACATCTTTTTCCCCTCGCGGTCCGCGGATAAGCGTCAGTGTGCAAACCTGCGCTCCCCTGCAGGTCTTGGACATGGATTTTCACATGTGCCACAAACCCGTACAGTAGCCAACCATGGCCCAACAAATATATGTACATGCGTCCCGTCTGAAGGAGCTAACCATTCTCACCCACAACATCTATCAACACAGTAGACGACCAATTGACAGTTGCATCGTCAAATCGCAGAATAACATTTACCCTCCGATACTGCAATCAGATCATCAAATAAATAGAGGCCTTTCAATTGCCACGTTTGATTACCGGAGGGTAGTTGGATTGCCATGCAGTCCTTGACTTCAGCACGAGACACATCTGATCTACTGAAAAAGTTCATCACAGTGATGGGCCCCGCTCCCAACACTAGGGATGCATCTGCCAGGTCAATGGGATGATATTCAGCTGCTTAGATTCATCATGAAAACTAGGGTCCTCCACTGGTTCTCTGAGGCAACAATGAGTTTCAAGCTCGCTCATTTCACCCAATCACAATTATATCACGTACTATTTGCCAGTTCAATGGTTATAAAGTCAGTTATAATATTCAGTATCTAATGGGGTTTAAAAGTATGATTCCACTTGAACCTGTTAATTGTGTTTATTCTTTTCCAGTGCTCAAAGTGGCAGTCGTTATGTGATAAAAACCAGTTATTAGATGTATATATATAATTGCTATAACTGGTAGTTTTGGCCCATCATTGTCGTATCCCATGCCCAATCTCAGGTGTTCAAACCTTCTCTCAGTTGAGACAACCTGCTCCGAGCCCTCCTGCAGTTTGATGCAGCCATCATAAAATGTGGAGGGTGTCCTGTTTTTTGGAAAAACAACCGTAAACAACCATGTATTATATATGACAACCCGCATTCTGTATAATTGTATATATATCTAAGCAAAATATGTGGATATTTTAATTAATGTATCCATCTATCTATCTATCTGTCTGTCTGTCTGTCTATCTATCTATCTATCTATCTATTCTTATGTGATCATATGTGTATGTCGTATGTATATGTTTTTTACACTGTTCACAGACAACTCGAGCTGGTGCTGCTTCTGATGGGCGTGCCGCCACAATGTTGAGGCACAGATCACTTGGTTAACAGTTGGGTGGAGGATATAACTATATAATATATTACAATTTCATATAATACTATGTTACTATGTATAGCATATAGTTATATATTTTAGTACAATTTCATATATATAGATATATACTATGTATAGTCAATGGATGTCAATGGGTTTATAAACCAACTTATAGTGGTAACCCCCAGTGATACTAATGTGTTGATCCAGCACATAGCTGCGCCGGCCTCAGGCCAGAACTTGGTGTTCCAGCATCCTGCCACCATGATCCAACATTCCAAGCGCATGACCAGAATTGAAGCTAAAAAGAAGCTTTAGCAGTAGAAGATCCACCAATCCCAAGACAAAAACCCCGCAACGATGGAAGAAATCCTGCACCACCTTGGATGGTTGAAACCCTATAAATACGCAATGATGATAAACCACCTATCCTATCAGCTCAGGATTTCTTGCATCCACTGCATGAAGCGTCGACTTTTTTCTTTGACGCCTGCCTGGCTTTGGCTTCCTGCCCCGCTGGACGCTCTTTCTTTGCCAGGTGTTCCAAGCATGGGCGGCGTCCCAGGTTGAACTCCCTCCAACCAGGCTTCGCCCTTGGGCCGCAGATTTTTCACAGGCGAGTCCTGGAAAAGTTGCGACTTGAGCTGCTCCAGGTTCTTCTCTTGCCTGGGAATTTTGTGAAACAAAGAGGGCTCCTCAAAAATATAATATATATATAATATAATATATATATATATTATAATATATATAATATATATATATGTCTATAATCAGATTTTCCACAATATCATCAGATATGTTTCACGTGGAACATATGTGTCATTTTAAATCCACCGTGCAGGTTTCACTCATACTTCAGGTGTATTACTAGTTTAAATTAGACTACTATAATGTACTATATATACCATCTGGTTATTTAACATAGCCATGGAAAATCCCCATTTTTAATAGGTAAACCATCTATAAATGGGCCATTTTCCATGGCTATGTTAGTCATAACATGTCATAACCAGAGGGTATCTGCTGTATACAAAGGATGAACATCACGAGAACATCACCAGATCTCACCAGGCTGCTGATCCAGTTGCACCATGCAGGGCAGCCGTGGTGCTGGCAGCTGGGCTTCACAGGCTTGGAACTCCTTCCACAAGGCGCGCAGCGGCACATCTTCCGTCCAAACCTGGACGTGGAGGCAGACCCTGGTGGGGGGCCCTGGGGACGTGGAGGCCGACCCTGCAAACTCAGAGTTTCCCATAGATAGCCCATGAAAATATAGAGGATTTACATGCATTTACATGTATTTACATGTATTTTACATGTATTTATATGTATTTGCATGCATTTACAATTGAAAATTGTGATGTTCCAAATAGCAAACTGTTGGTTTACTAGAGGGTTGAACTTGGCATAGCATCTAATAATACCTTTACCACTAGATATCATCTTAGAAAAGCAGAAAAAAACATGTTTAAACATGAGTTGATCATATAGTTAACAGTAGCTCAGTTGCAGACCCCCCCCAATTTATAGCCAAAAAAAGAACGAAAACACCTACCCAATCCAGGTTTTGCCAGTGACCCGCTGCAAACACGTTTCACAAGCTTTCCCCAATATTGGATAAAACCCCATTTTCCATACACCAATTAAAAACAGCCAGGTTGATCAGCAACATAAACATGGACATAAATTGGACCCAAGTACCACATTGTTTAATTATACATCGTTTACATATTCCATTCCATGATGAGATCATAAAATTGGAATCTGTTGTGTTAAGCAATGGCATCCCAAATCTCCCACATGGTTGAATATACAGAATTATGCATCCCATCAAGAAATCCCAGTCCATTCCATCATCATAAAATGGAATATCATGAGAAAAACATATGCATCCCATTTCATCAATATCCATGGACATTTGATTCCATTCCTAATGGTTGAATCAGAATTGTACTTATTACATTCTTATATCCTAATGTGGGTCAAACAATGGTAAACCATCCCCGAGTCATCACCATTTTCAAAAAGGTGGTAGGTTTTACCATTCCCAGATCATCAAACTTCATGGGTGGTCTATGATTGTTTTAACCACAAAAAATTCCATGATCATCAAATTTCATTCTACCCCTTGTAATTAGCCCCTCCATTTCTGGTGAAATCAGCCGTGGCACGGCTCCAGCTCTCCGCGTGCTCTCCGCGGATCCCGGAGCTCCGCCGGCTCCCGTGGCTCCCGTGGCTCCCGTGGCTCCCGTGGCTCCCGTGGCTCCCGCGGCGCCTGGGATTGTTTTAACGTTAGCAATGTCACGAAGCAGCCATATATATAAATTGACTTATATACCAAGCCATAAAAATAGAAGAACTTGGGGATGGATATGGATGGATCCTATTGCTTTATTAACATTGACACCATTCTATTTACATGTGCTGTTGGAAGCTCATGTGTGCTGGCCCTATCGTCCAGTGCCAATTCCATATGTAATATATATGTACATATATAGCAAACCCAAAAACAATAGAAAAGTGAATCTATCTTTATTGTGATTTACCTTCCATCTCTTGGGATGACTACTGTATATATGTGATTGTATGTAGTCATATCTCTATAGACATTGTCTTGTGCTTTTCAATCCCACATATTTTACTGGTAAAGAAAGTGAACACCTCGGTTTTTCATCAATCTTTCTCTACTGGTTGGTGGTATACCTACCCCTCTGAAAAATATGAGTTCGTCAGTTGGGAGTATTATTCCATATTATTCCATATTATTCCGAATATATGGAAAGTCATAAAAGTCCATGGTTCCAGTCTCCACCAAGCAGTCTATGTTTTCCTTCTTCACCATGGAAATCACCTCGCTGAAATCTCCCTTGAAATCGGGATCGTCACCTCGGAGCTCCAAGAGTTGCTGCAGACGCTGAGCATTGGCCACAATCTGCTGCAAACCTGGTCGAGGAAATGGCTCTGACATCGGAAATTGGGGCTATCAATGGGATCAATTGGATCTAATATAGAACATATTTAAGGGAAAGATGGGATTTAACTCTCATGATGTTTTCTGAGATATTTGATACTTGAGATAATATATATATATATACTGGCCTGTGTTTAACATAGTCAAATAGTCAAGTGCTATTTGTGGAATTTTTGTACCAATTCAATAGTCAAATCCTTTTACCATCAAGAGAAGCAATCCACATAGTCAAATCACTCTATCAGAATAGTAGATCGGATCTTCTGGTCCAGTCAAATCATTCCTTCGATTTGTTCAATTAGAGCAATGATAGCAAATAATGCGTTTTGGAATTCCAAGGGCCAATCAAATGGTCAAATGGCGACAGATGGCGACAGATCCAATGTTCGAGTTCTTTGCATCGTAGACGTTTAGAATAACAAACATGATCAAACATGACTGCCTTAAAGATGGCTAAACATCAGCATATGACAGCATATGCAAGCCAAGGGCACACAAGATATCTATCAACCCCCCCTTCATTCATGCATTCATTCAAGACATACCACTACTATCCTGTTAAAAATGTTGATGCGAAAAGCTGGTTGAGCCCCAGTTTGACAATTCGCATTTATTGCAGTCAACTTTGATGCAAAGTGTTGTTTTTTTTCCAAGATGTCCATTTCTCTTAAAGGGTTTGATTTATGCTGAAGATCTTTGCAAGACATGATTAATGAGTAGATTGACGTTAGATGGACGTTTGGGTAGTCTGATGAATTGTATGTTGTGTTTGCGGTTTGACATTGAGCATGTATCTGTATCTCTATATGTATTTATAACTACATACAAACATCCATTCAGGGTCGGCCTACAAGGATGATATGGTGCACATAACAGGTTCATTGATTTCGCAATATTTGTTTTCTTAAATTTGCAGGGGATGTATACAGCAAAATCTACTGTTCAGCAACTCACAGCGACCTAATGATTATCCATGATTATCGTTTTGCAGTTGAACATCATTGCAAATATCATTGCGCAGGCCAAGCAATTCTCGGCACAACATTGTCTCTTTATGAGCCCTCAGATCAGCCACAAATAGTGAAAAAACAAATGTCAATCGAAGAGGTAGATTTTTTCAGAAACTGAAATAGGACACATGCTTAGAGGATTTGAACGCACATCACAAGTACCAATGACATGGGGCCCTTCCTGCAAGCAAAGCGGCCATTCAGAATCAAGAGCGAGAGAGAGAGAGAGAGATAGAGAGAGACAGATATGCAGGGCAGAAAAAAGTAGCCTTAAACAAATGCAGCAGTTTTTTGACAGTTAATCCCAAGTCAAAATTGAGGGAACCGTCATTGCACTGGTCAAATTCTCTTATAAAACAACCTGTTGATATTGATGTTTACTATGATACCAAAACCAAGAATAGGACGCAAACCAAAAAAATATTTTGTAGAGATGGATCCTGCAGCATATGGCATAGCATTGCTCCCAAGTAGTCAGTAGTCATTCAGGAGAAAAGACAACATGACACAGTGAGAATGTCCCGGCATCAAAATACTTGTCCCCATGAATCACATACAGGAACCGAGACAGGTTAATTTGAAGAAAAAAGTGAAGCTCCTGCTGAGGAAAAATCACTTTAGCAAGCATAGAGTCTGTTGTTCTCCCCTGGCAAAGGTCCAGAACACCCACAATGTTGACCATATCTTAAAAGACCCTGGCAAAATAGTTGATTAGTCCAACTTGTTAGTTGTCATGCATCACAAATTATTGTGAACTATGAGTACTGAATACCAAGATGTTTGCTTTCCATGCCAGCCATTGTTAAGCAGCAGCATTAGATACCCAAATGAATGTCGGATGTTCCAACATCCAAAATCTTGCCTTTCAATGTTTTTGATCCTTAGCCTGCGTTGGTTTGCGAAGTGTTTGTCTGTGTGTTCCTTTATGGGCCTGGCGATGGCCTTGCCCTTGGTGTTCTTGGTCAGACGGGCATGACTTGACACTCTAACAAAACAAGGAATGAACTCACATAATAAAAATTCAACATATTGGCTTGAGGCAAATGACCTTTCAATACAAATTATGGGACGCCTTTCAACCTGTATAACATGATCTGTGAAAAAAAAAAAAACCGACTAGGCTGGCAAAGCCTGGGAGCCCTCCCCACCTTCAGGATGCGATACGTAGAGGCTGGCAAAGGTTGATAGTGCTGTCACTGTCTGAAGCAAACATTCCAAAAAATCCAAAATTCCAAAAATTAGATTGAGCTGCATTTAAGGTAATCACCGTTGGAAGGATAGGGACAAATTGTCCCTATCCTTCCAACACTCAATAGCGCTACCGACCGTTGCCAGCCTACGCATGACTTTCTTAAATGCAGGTTCCAAAAATTCCGACACGCTTAAAAAGGTCCAAAATCCATGGCCCATACTACGGTGAGGATAGGCTGGCAACACTCAATAGCGCTACCGACCGTTGGAAGGATAGGGACAATTTGTCCCTATCCTTCCAACACTCACTATCTTAAACGCAGCTCAATCTTAATTTTTGGAACTTTGGATTTTTTGGAATGTTTGCTTAAGCCAGTGACAGCACTATCAACCTTTGCCAGCCTCTACTTTTTGGATTGTTTCGGCATTATGGCAAAAGTCAATAGCGCTGCCGACTTTTGCTAGCCTCTACTTGTGCATTTTTTGGATTTTTGCAAAGGTCATTAGTGCTACAATTTTTCCAGCCTCTACTTCTTGCAATATTTTAGGATTCTGGCAATGATCAATTTGTCAATGGTGCAATGGTGCTACAGACCTTTGCCAGCCTATTCTTAAGTGTCTTCGCAATGAATTCTTGAAACTCACAGCAACTGGGAAGGGTCCAAAGCGCTCCCGACCTTTGACACTGTCAGGACAAAGAGAAAACAGCTTACCCCATGCTGGGAAAGGTTATTCTCTCAAGAGTAGTTTTTTTGGTTTTCTTCAGAAACTGAGGCTCCATGTTGTTATATATGCCATTTGAAGTTGAAAGACGCGTTTGTTGTCATGTTGATTTCTTCCTTTTTCACGTGCAGTACCATTCCACTCCCTTCCGAATACGAAGGCTAAGGGCAAGCCCACTGACCCATGTGATGCACGCGTGCGCACGAGAGAGAGAGAGATATATATATATAAATAATATATATATATAGAATATGCGCATATAATCAATATACATATGTATTGGAATCCGTTGGGGTATTTGCCGTTTTCGCTTTACGATGGCACCCATGGAAAATGTCAGTGAACCTTGGTGCTGTCACAATAATTTGTGATGCCAACCGGAGACATCCCCCATGTATGCAATTTTTGGTATGGGTTGACCAAAATCTAGACCGCTTCCAACCTTGGCTAAGGACGGGATTTATTACAAGTCGTGCTGTGATCTTGAGAATTTTCTGAAAACACGAATGTTGTAGGCAGCAAACGGGCTGAAACTCCCGAACGCTGCATTTTAAGTTTCATAGATATATTGTAATATTTATATAGTTGTTTGAAACCTTCCTCAAACGCTCCAGAACGCTCCCGGCTCCTCTAAAGCAACCTTTTTCTTTAAAGACCCAAAGCATTCTCGAGCGATCCTTACTGACTTTTGTGGACCCTCCTTAAACAGCCCGAAGCATTGCCAAGTGCTCAAAAACATATGTTTCTAAAGGATTCAGCCTTCAAAATTTGAAGGCTACACTAGCATGGACGAAATAAAATAGAAAACACAATTCACTGATGTTTATAAACATCTGTCTTGAGCGAAATCGCGCTATCAAAGGCAGCATAGACAAAAACAACAAAAAGCATATCTAAAACAATCAGGAACATCTGGGATCTTCTCCTGTTTCTATTTCAACCCTGATCTGAACAGAAACAAACAAACTTGTGGTTAAGATTTCAATAGAGCCTATGCCCTGTCGAATGTGTTCAGCCCCTACTTCCTCAACAGAATTTGACGGAATAAGAACCCTCAACGCTTCCTGCACCTACAGAAGGTGGCCTAGCCTTCAAATATCACCTGCAGTTTGTCGCTCGCCAGAAGTGAAAATCGTATATAAATGTTGACGATGCGTGTTTGTGTTTGTTCTGTTATGGTGCAACTTCAGTCAACAGTGCTGATCTAATTGTTATCATTTCCTTTGTAACCTTGAAGTATTTCCTTTGCCTTTATGAAAGGCTTGCAGCGCCATACCCTCTGGAATTGTTTTGCCACTGACGCAGTATCTTGTGCTTTACAGCCACTTTATCCTGCATATTTGATGTCGTTGTTGAAATTTAGGCCGATTGAACTTATTGGTCGTCCCGATGACTGGTAAGTTAAGTAGTACTTTAAATTTTACAGACCAGGACCAGGACATGTACAATATATAGTTCTTTTTTCTTTAGTCGACTGTGTGCGTTGTGTTTGCATACATATCATATGTACTTGTACTGCATGTTTCACGTATGTTGGGTCCATTCTTATAAGGATGCGTCAATGCCCACTCATTTATGGTTCCCACTGCCCACTGACTCATCTACCCATTTTGATATGGCTCACAATTATAAATAAAAGAAACCATTTCCCAAAAATTACAGTGATTATTTGACTTTCTTAAATGCACCCCAGTATATATAAATATAAAATACACATTAATACACATCAATATATGGTATAATGATGTATAATGGTATATAATATTTGTATGTATTGCTAGCCCTAGTGCTCCAAACACCTTCTAAGACTGTATTTAGGGTTGTTTCGTGAGGTCCAAATACCTTCTCGCATGGTATTTGGAGCACTAGGGTAATATGGGGATATATGGGGATATTATTGGATATAGTTAGTTATATAACTAAAATTATGATAAACAAAAATGGGGATCCCCCCAAGAAAACATCGTCTTAATAAAGAAAACATAGGATGAGCAACTGCATTTTGGGGTGCTCTACCTTCGGATGAAACAAATTGGATCATTTGCTGATTAACTAGCTGAAATTGTTTTCAACAAGAGAAAATTGTGATTTTTTGCGTTATACTATGGGATATTCATCGGCGACAATGTGATTAATCCATTTGTTGGGGAACTTCACCAGCGACAAATTGGGATAAGAGGATTTACCACACAAACATACGGTGTATGAAACGGGCTATACCAATATACATGTATGTATGCATATGTATATTCGACGTGGACACAGTTCTTGCCTAACCTTGCGGGATGTGACGCACAATAACTTCGAACGACTTTTCCCCCATATTTCCAGGCGAACCGTATTCCCTCCAGAACCGGGATCTTAGATTTAGGAGTATATAATATGTCAATGGATTGAATAACAGGTAAACTGACCATCAACATGTATATCTTTATGTGCGATATCTATAAATGATAAGTGAACGAAACCCGATTTAAGCTGATACTGGTTTTGTTCAATTTGTCTTGTGACCTCAATCTCAGTTTGAGATGGTCCCAGACTAGTACAAGAAAAAGGCAAATAGAACTGTATAATAATAAGTCAATCATCCAATGGTTTCGTTTATATATACACCGTTGCGAAGAGCTCCGGTCACTCCTTCCCATATCCTCTTATGTATATGATATCCTATGTTTCGAGCATTTCGAGCAAATGTAGCGAAATGTACTGATTCATATTTTCAACCCCCTGAACAAATCAAAAGATATTACCCTCTGGTTATTTAACATAGCCATGGAAAATGGCTCATTTATAGTTGATGTTCCCATTAAAAATGGTGATTTTCCATGGCTATGTTAAATAACCAGAGGGTATATTAAAGTCCATTCCGATCATCCCAGGTAGGACTGGACTTCACCAGTTAAGCCACCTGGTGACGAAGGCTTCGGACTGCCACTCGGCAATTGCCTCAGGCCCGGCATGGTTGAAATGTCCATTCTTTTGGGGAACGATCTGGAAAATCTTGAGACACACCTTTTTTTTGGGGTCAAGAAGAAGTCACGAAAAAAACATGTCTGCACTTGTTTTGGAAAATCGAATCGGACAAGTCTTGGGGTGTTTGCAGGAGCGGGCGTCTTACATGGTGGCTTCACCAAGGAATCGAAGGATCCTTCGCTAGGCCCTGGACTCTGCATAAGGCGTCGAGGCCAAACTTTCAGGATACCTGAATTGGTCAAGGTGTGGCACATGCTTATCAGCAAATACCGCATGAAATATTCAAACCGGAAACCTTTTTACCTTCTTGGCATTAGTGTCCTATCTTTATTTTTTTCCCTGTAGCCCTTTTTACATTGTCCTTATCCTTTGTCTTTCCCTGTGTTTTTAGTCCTTTGTCGTTCCCTTTATGTTGCTGTTGTTGCTGTTGCTGTTGCTGTTGATGTTTTTGTTTTTCTTGTTCTTCTTGTTCTTTTTGCTTGTATTTTTCTTGTTTTTGTTCTTGTTGTTGTTGCTGTTGTTGGTTGTTGTTTGTTGTTTGTTGTTATGTTGTTGTTTGTTGTTAGTTGTTAGTTGTTCGTTGTTGTTGTTGTTATTTGTTGTTATTTGTTGTTTTTTGTTGTTATTTGTTGTTATTTGTTATTATCTGTTGTTATTTGTTGTTATTTGTTGCTGTTCTTGTTGTTGTTATTTGTTGTTGTTATTTGTTCTTGTTAATTATTTGGGTTGTTCTTGTACTTGTTATTGTTCTTGTTGTTGCTCTTGTTTTGTTTATGTGTTTGTTATTGTTCTTGTTCTTCTTGTTCTTGTTCTTCTTGTTGTTGTTCTTGTTGTTCTTGTTATTGTTCTTCTTGTTCTTGTTCTTGTTGTTGTCATTGTCGTTGTCGTTGTCGTTGCCGTTGTGACTGTTGCTGATGCTCTTGATGTTGATGTTGCCGTTGTCGTTGCTGTTGTTGTTGATGATGATGCACGCTAATTCTTACAGTATCATTGTATATATATATAATTGTTATCATATCCGCTCAGGAAGTTGTTCAAAAAAAATGAACATGACTTCCCACCATCCTGCGATCAGTTGGCGCATTCCCCAGCTTTTCAGGTGACCGTTGCTTCACTGCCACCGGTCGCGAAGCGTGTGCAGCAGGCTTTACCGGTAGAGGTTTCAACTTGGACAAACACTCGGAGAGCTCCTGTTGATGTGTTGGGAGACATGTAGATATAAATGTTTCGGGATATGCAAAACTGGAGTATGAGCAAGGTCATGAATAAGTTCCATGAAGTTCCGGTAAATGTTATGTAATTATATATAGCAAGATAACATTATATAACGAGTGATGAGATCCTGCCATCTTTGGATATGAATGATTTTACTGGTTTCATATTGGCAGGTTAAAATTCAGCGGAGCAGTGTCATCTTTGTGAGGATTTACTCTTTAGCCTTGGGGGAAATAACGTGTGCAACAATCCAAATTTGGACTGTAAATACAGAGCATATCATATTCTCGATCAAATTTCAGAGAATCCACCCGCTCACCAGGTGGTTTGTGCTTTCGCAGACACTAGCGAGTTAAAGCCCAACTCTTGCCCCCCACATGGGATTTCTCAACACTTCCAGGATGTCAACCAATATCTCCACCAAAGTCCCATCCCCCACACCAAATGGATGTGTCCCCAAATAGGGATACCCCAAGTCACCATTGGTTTCAATATGCTTCAATACTCAACTGGTCGAATTCTGGATGATTTGGCTATGGATTGAAACTCTCCAACTGTTCATCTCCTCTTCCTGCTGCTGAAGTAGAACGACCAGGCGCTGCGTGCTCTGCAGAGTTCCCATCGATCCACGCTCTCCGAGAGGAGCCTTCCTGCCCTTCGCGCGCAGCACAGCGTCCCGCAGAGCATCGCAAACGGAGAAGACCAGGGAACGACAGGAAGCACCTTGCAGGGCTTGCAGGGCAAGGAAGACATTGATGTCCCCTTTGGTTCTTCAACAATATTCAACATAGCTATGGAAAATGGACCATTTGTAGATGATTCATGTTGATGTACCTATCAAAAATGGTGAATAACCAGAGGGTGAGGATGCCAGAGAGGTCTGTTTTGTTGCCCCCTCACTCCGAATTGGGCAGTGCCGAAGTGCAAGTATGCATTTCCATCGCGCAAGTTATATCAACTTACTACACCTGCGGCTCCCGGCCTGCCTTTTTAAGCAGCCCAGCAGCAAATGCAAGCAAAACTTACCCCATGGTTGTGGAGTTTTGGAAAAAAAACGCCAACAACAAACCCAAGCTGCATTTCCAGGGTGTTCTGAGATGTAAATGAAATCTTTGTGGCCCTGCCCCTACACACAGAGAGAAATGCAGCAGACCGGAACGGACCGAAACTTGCGTTGCCCGGAACAGGAAGGAATGGCCAACCCTGAGCAACCAAATGTCTAGACTCAGACCAGATCATTTAAGCGCTAAATTTAACCGTCAAAAATGTGCATCAATGATTTTGAGCTATACCCACATCAAAAGTGTTTGAAAGTCAAAAACGCCGAGTATAGATCGCCTGTTTCAATACGAAGCAGTACAAGGTCAGATCCCCAGTTGTAAGATGTTATAAGTTGGTTTATAAACCCATTGAATATATATATAGTATGGTATGATATGAAATTCAATAGCTATATTTATATCCTGCATGAACCCAACAGTTAACCATGAGTCGGTACTTACATCACAAAGGGTCAGGCGTCTGAGATCAGCGATGAATAGCTGTCAACATGTTCATAAATCGTCCCAAGATGTAATACCCTCCAGCAAATTAACAGTTCGACCCTGCCAGATAGGGCTTGGAAGACTAGGTTCCACTAAGGATTTGTTATTTTTTCAGGATCTATGTTAATTCACCAGAGGCTAATATTTCAAGAAGATACAATTTTAAGGGAATGAACTGCTCATCCTCAAGGACCTAAAACATCTACCGGAATTGTGCCAAATTCAACTTTGAAATGGCAGGAAATGCCCATTGCAACACAGAAAAATTGCATTGAATTTTATACTGTGTTATGTTTTGATGGTCAATGGTTGAATCCCCGTGTATATTTATTCTGTTTCAAAGTCTTTTACAAATTCACACTTGCGACACGCACACACACACAAAAAAAAATGTGTGAGTTCTATCATGTTCTATCCCCTAGTTCTATCTTAACGTCATTTTGGTCCCCTGAAAATCTCCCCATCTTTTTCCTTGCCTTCCCGGAGCATCTCTGATCCACACAAGTCGTTCAACAGCATTAGCAGCTCGCGGCGAAAACCATCCACAATAGACTTTGCCATCTGACAGCTTTGCACCAGATTTTGGGGAAAGCCACCAGGGCGCTTCCCAGCCAAACAGGCCATGGCAGCATGGAGCAGTTGAATGACTTCCTGGTGGTGAGAGCAACGCTCGGCGATCTGTGGCGCTCAAACCGAGAGACAAAAACGCAAAGTCGGGATAGGTCGAGAATACGTAAACATATGTAAACATTGCATATTGCTTATTCAATTTTGAGGAGCCATCGTCACATTTCACAATAAAAAAGGCTGCCCAGATTCAGCTTCCACTGCAGAAATATCCTCAGTGCCACTTGGCAATGCCTCGCTACATCCGTCACGGAGGTTTCTGGCCATTTGCCGCTGCAGCTGCAAGCGACCGGCCAATCTTGAACCTTAGCCGTTGTGCCCTGACACCAGTGGATTGGTGGAAAATCTACAGAAACCATGGGACAGCTGCAGTTGCTACATGCAAATATGGGGGGGGGGCGTCCTGAATATGTTCCCTGAATATGTCCTGTACATTTCTTGGAAGTAAACGGTTGGTGGTTTCAACATCAACAATATGAATAAGACAAGCCAGCTCGGGATCCATCAGCCCAACCAACCATCTCAAGCCCTAGCAAATTGGCGGCTAAAGATGGCTAAAGTACGGCTACCAACCATCTGTGAGGTCAGCCAACGAGTCCCCAAGAATCCACAAACCAACCCAACCAAACTAGTTAGTCAACTAACCAAGCAACTAACCAACCAATTGGTTAAGGAACCAAATGCTGTAATCAGCCAACTAACCAACCAACAACTTAAGTCAGCAACTAACCAGATAACCAAGGAACTAGGATTGAACTAAGTAACCAACCAAATCCAACCAACTAAGCAACTAAGTAACCAGCTAATTAACTAACCATGTGCAACTACTTAAGTCAGGAACCAACTATAACCAACTCATCAATTTTACAACTTCCATCAACTTCCCCAAGCCTATTTCCTTCCAACACAGCAGCAGTGCGTCTCCAGCTGCTGTCGCTCTCCTTCCAGCCGTCGCTGCTCGCGCTGCCGCGTCGCCAGCTCCGCGGCCAAGTCCTCCGAGACGCGCTGCAGATCCGCCGCTTCGGCGCGGCCGGCGCGAAGGGCCGCCTTTAACGGCCCCAGGGGGGGGAGTCAAACAACGAAAAAGGGCGATTTGGCCGACTAAAAATGGTGATTTAAGCAACACACAGGTAGATTTCAGCATCAAAAACGGTGACTTAACTGACTTAACCAGGAAATTTGGCAATATAACCAGGGCATGTCATGGTAATATAACGGGAATATAGTTGGTATACAACCAGATTAATGGCCATGTAAAAATCAATATTCATCAACAAACAATTATTCGAACATGTGTGGGAAAAATCGGTATAATTGGTATAGAACCAATAAAGCCAAACAATGGTGAACAAAAGGGATCAATGGAAGGTTTGTCCCAGAAGTAGCCCGCGACAACATGTGATAACGGAGGTAGTAACCAGCAACCATGGGATCTATACGACTATACGGATACAATATTTACCATCAAGCAATGGGGCTGTTCAATTGGGATTTATCCAGAAATTTGTGGGAATTGCAGGTGATTTAACATGATTTAACAGGAAACAATAGGGACGTAACATGATTTAAACGGTTGAAGAATGGATCTGAGTGTGTCTCAAAATGAGGATAACTACCCCCTATTTGAGACCATGAAATCATTCGTATTTTCAGGGAAATCCCCATGATATGATGGGTGACCTGTCACTTCAACCATCTAATTTTAGCATATTTTAGCCAGGTAAGATACTGTTGATGACGATCTTCTTACCTCCAATTGGATTATTTTCGGGAAAATGATGGAAAATGTCCATACATCATCATACATCATGTGGGTTTGTCTGAAAATAGGGTATATTCCCAATGAAATAGCCATTTAATAGGGATAATGATCATTAACCATTGGGTAAAAAGGGGTACACTATTCTCAGACACAACCATGTATCGCCCGTATCATTGGTGGAGATCTGAGCGAGACAGATCTCCACCTTGGGCCTTTGGCGGTGCATCTGGCAGAAAAAGGGCATCCATTTTCTCGGTGATTTCTCGGAGTGGATTTCTCGGAGTTTCAGCACGTCAACAGATTCCAAGCATTCCAAACCAGAGTACGGGTTTGGGTCAACATGTTGCACAGAAGAAAGAAACCAGAGGTCAAATTAGGTCAAATTTCTGCTCCCCAAATGATTGAAGAACTCGCCGATTTGCGACTGCTTGCAGGTCCAACAATTGACGCATATTAAGGAAACATAGCCAAACAAGTTTCAAAAGTTCATGGAAACTCTACCAAGCTGCCTCGGCCGAAGGAGCCGAAGGACCCGAAGGACTTGGCTTTAGCTGCTCAGCTCTCAAGTGCCAAAGTTGCTGCTCCTCCCTTTCCAACTCCTCATTCATCATGAGGTATCGAATGGAATGTTCTCCTGCAGCTGAAGATTTATGCGGAACTTAGGTTGCGATGCTCGCGTTGTGTTTCATCTGCTGATTGCAGGCTGTTTATGGCTGAAAACACGTAGGGACAGAAGGTCATTCTTGCCATCTGAAACCTTGCGATTTTCGAAGGGTTCTATTTTCTTGACCCGTACCCATCAATGGGTATGGTATAGCTGACAATTAGAGTATTCCATTAACTTTTCCGTTCCATGGTTGATCATATGTTTCACCTGATTTCATGGCAACCTGTTGGGGTGAAATGGCTTTGAGACAAAGTCACACCACACTTTCCATTACCCTCTGGTAATTTAACATAGCTATGGAAAATCACCATTTTGAAAGGGGAAATCCACTATAAATGGCAATTTTCAATAGCTATGTTAAATTACCAGAGGGTACTGGTCATTACTGGTCACCATATTTGCCCCCATTCCATCTCATGGTTGATCATCATTTTCCCCCGCAGAGCTCATGGCCAAATCAAGAGGTATCCTGATTTTGAGCCACACCCCAATATCATATTGTTAGTTATATATATATATATGTATAATATATATATATATTGTTTTTTAGATCCAATAGTCAACCAACTCCTTAGATGTTCAGAGTATCCCTTCAATAGAGGTTTGTTGCGGGTGGGATCCCACATTACTATCAACGGGGGATGCCTTTTGACCTAATAATAGACCGTCTAGAATAAACGGGATACTCATGGATACTCTTGAAAATAATAATAGTTAAATAGACCTATTAAAAAGAAACCCAGAAATAATAGACGGTCTATTAATAATAAACATCATCAACAGTATGCCCTTTGCGGGTTTACCACAGTCCCCATGGCCAAGTCTCTGGGCGCTTCGAACTTCTTCATCTCCTTCGCCAGTGCCTCCTCCTCCCGCGCCAGCGACGCCAGCTGCCGCTGAAGCGACGCCAGCGACTGCTTCAGCTCCGTCGTGGAGTCCTCATGGCTGGTGGGTTAACCATGGTGAAGCAACGAACATGGGCCATAGATCATGGGATATAATATGGTAGATGCCAAAAAAGACGACCATTGAAGTGGATCATGTGGGTTTTACCACCCATCTGATGGTTATAGTATTTTTTGAGTGATGTTTTTTGTTTTTTCCATTGGGCTGACCTCACCTTACATACAACATGTGTTAATTGATACTATATCATCTGGGATATTGGATGGATTTCAATGGTATATATAAGCTAACCAACTTCTTCAGAGCGCTGAATCCGTAGGGACCATCGAGAATCATCGAGACATGGCTGGTGGCCTTGAGCGTTCATCCTGACATCAGACAATTCTATATATAACATGATAGTAACTATCATATGTTATGTTGTATGAGTTATATGATATATATATATATATTGTAATACATATAATATATATAATGTATATATATAATAATTATTATTAATATTATAATATACTATAATATAATATCATATCATATCATATCATATCATATCATATATACATATATATATTATTATATATAATATTTATTTATTATATATATGTATATATATATATGATTATGTTATGTTATTTAACACATATGATGATCATATACATATATCATTGATTATCATTGGGGGGTCATCATCCGAAGGATGAACATCATGAACAACTACTGCTTGGTCTACTTAAGCGGGATATGGAATGATACCCATGGAGGAAATAGAAGATAGAGGTGGACTTGGAATATCATCTTCAAACGGCTACGTCTCAGTGTTTGAACACATGCAAAGATAAGAAAACATATGATGTTGGAATATAAACCATTGGGAATATAGTTTAACTGTCTTTCATATATTCCATCCCATGTGGTGGACAATTAAGGTTCATGTTCCCAATCTTTCAGGGCCATATTATGGATACAATATATATATATATATCCCAGGGGCCCCACACTTTGAGACAGGATGTGACAAATAGCGCGGGTGACTGGGACATGAACAGGATCATCAGTTACTAGCGAACGAAATGGGAGTTAGATGGAGTTGGACTTACTGGGACTTGGTGAAAAAGACGAGTTGGAATGGGAGTTAGCCCATGTTAGCCCCAAAAGTTCATGAACCAAACCCACATATGACATTCATATGACATCATATGACGCACATCTATGTGCCATCTCAGAGTCTATGCTACTCATGAGTGCGGCATCAGCAGGTCGATTTCTTCGATTCTTCTCGTGAGGAAACGGAGACAACTCGCGCAAGGGCAAGCCCGGTGCCTGGCCACTCCGACTCAATTACTGAGTGATGATTGTGGTTTATCCATGTTTATCCCACAAAAACACATCATAAAACCGAGCTGTTGGGGGTTAGATATGCCATGATATGCCATTTTTTGTAGCTGCCGGTGGCACCTTGATCAGGTTTAATACCCTTGAAGCATCAACTTCCAGCCTGCAGCCGCACTTTGGGAGCCACATTCTCCTCACGGCTGTGATCATCGAAGTCCCAGGACTTGAGGACGTACCAGGCTAGGCATGGCTAGCAAACAAGGTGTTTGGTGACCTATCTCCGTGGGTTAGACATTGTTAAAGCAAGTTATACCAAGTTAAAGCCACATCTTTGTTGGTTTAATCATGTTTAATCTGACTTTGGGTCAAACCCTCAATACCAAAATTCACAAAATGACATCATCATGGACTGGTAACTTGCCCATGGTAGCTCCCGAGTCCTTCTCATTCAGAGCGGTGGCTCCAGAACCTACCAAAAACGTGGCATTTGTTTCTTTAGAGGATTTGTATCAACGGGATGTGTGATAGGATTTGCTTATGAGATTCTTGTAGCATGTTTGTTGGATTTTTGATAAAGTAAAACCTTGGTGCCCTCGATATGCACAACATCCGAAACCTATGCGCATGATGGCATGGACCCTCCAAAGCTGCAACAGCAATCTTCGGTCTTAAAAAAGACAGTAATGTGGCAAACGGAATGTCATAAACCATCCCCTTAAGTTTTTTTTTTTTATGAAATTGGATTTTTTCGGGATTCAAAAGGATCCCCAGTTGATGGTTAATGGAAAGGTTCATGGCCGGCCTTGGGTCAACCACATGAAATCTCAACTCCG